ATATGTATACCTACACATGGGCATGTATATATATATATATATATATATATATATATATGTATGTATGTATGTATGTATATATAGAATATATACTGTGTGTGTGCATATGCATATCTACTTATATAGATATTTATGTATATATATATGCAAGCCATCTAAGATAGAAGTGTACTTGTATAGTATGTAGTGAATACTCTGCAGTGGGAGTTGGAGGAATAAAATGCTCAGGAAATAAAGTTTTTAGAGAACGGGCTGGCAGTGAAGGCCCCCTGTATGGGCAGCAGCAGAATGATAAAATGTTTGCTTTTACATGATGTTTATTTATTTTTATGATTTTAAATAGTGAAATGTCTGCTTTTAAAAGAAATATAAACATGTTTACTTTAGTGAGACAAGCAATGAGACCGTGGGCCAGTAGCACGACGTGCAAGGGAAATCGACGTCCCTTCTTCCTGTTTTCTGCTCTGTAACTCGGTAAATTTTAGTTGTTTAAATATATTTTAATTGATTTCACAAGCATTTAATCCTTTTTAACAGCAAAACAGCAGCGATGTCTGCTGCTGCTTTTTTTGCGTCCGCAGGAGCAGCAGCAGCAGCAGCAGCAGACCAGCGGTCCCCCCAGCATCGTTGTGGGGTTTCTCCGTCTCGGTGCTTCTTCTTGCTGTAGGCATTATTTTTGTGTCTTCAAGCTGCATTTGATTTATTTTATTGCGTTTAAATTATGCTTTTCTTTTAGATTAAGTTCAACTGCGTAGACACCGCAGCGCCGCCAACTCTCTCGACCCCCCCCTCTCCCCAGCGCGAAAAGCTGCTTGAAGTTTCTTCCCTTTTCCTTCTTTTTGGGGTATAGGGGTTTTATGGGCATTTTTCCGTTTGTTTATTATTGCATTATTTAGCAGTTTGTGTTTATTTTAGATGCTTTTGAAGCGTGCGGTGGGCACGAGACCCTCCTCTTCCTCCTCCTACGCCTCCCACCTCTAGAGAAGCAGAACAAGCCTTGCAGCGTAACAGCAGCAGCAGCAGCAGCAGAAGCGGCAGCAGTTGTAGTAGTGGTATCAACAGCAAAACCAGCAGCAGCATAAGTGCAACAACAGCAGCAAAACGTCTGCAGCATCAGCACAGCAACAGCGACAGGAAACCCACAGCATCCGGAGCAGAGACAGGACAGCAGCAGTGGCATCAGCAGCATCAAGAGTGCGACAACATCACCAGCAGCAACGAGACATTAGCACCATCAATTTTGGTGCTGTCCCTGCGCCATGTTGGCTGCATTGAGAACACTAAAGAGGGGCGGGTCCCCCCTCTTCATAGGAGATTCCTTACATCTCCCTAGTAGCCGTTGGGTGGTTTTGCGTGCTGTGCTGCTGCTGCTGCTGCTATTACTGCTGCTATTTGTGCTGTTGCTGCTCTTCATGCTGCATGGCGTCTGTCTCTTGACGCACGGGTATGAAAAAACTGCACAAAGGCAGCACCACCTCATAGATTCTGTCTTGACATCCCCTGGGGCCCCTTCCCCTCGCCTTGCTGGGGGCCCCCTGGGGATACACCCCCGCTTTAAGCTGCAGCAGCTGCTGCTATCTTCGCATGAAGAAAGACACCCACTGGACAGCGGGCTGCCTCAAAGTGTACAACACAAACCTGCTGCTGCTGCTCCGCCTCCTCCTCCTGCTGCTGTTGCTGCTGTTGATCCTGTTGCTCCTGCTGGTGCTGCTGGTGCTGCTGCTCCAACTGCTCCTACGTTGAGCAGGAGCGGACGAACTGCACCAGAAGGCAGGAAAACTGCTGCTGCTCCACTGCGGGGGCATGCTGTCGCCGCAGGGCCTTTTTTAGCAGCAGCAACACCAGTAGCAGCACCACCACCACCACCACCACTCCCAATACCACCTGCACCACCACTTCCAATACCACCTGCACCACCACTACGAATACCACCTGCGCCACCTCTACCAATTCCACCTGCGCCACCTCTACCAATTCCACCTGCGCCGCCTTTACCAATACCACCTGCGCCGCCTCTACCAATACCACCTGCACCACCACTTCCAGTACCACCTGCACCACCACTCCCTGGGTTACTCTTCTCACGAACAGAACCAGCAGCAGCAAGAACGACAGCACCACAACCAGCGGCGGCGAAGCCAGCAGCAGGAACAGCAGCAACAGCAAAGCCAGCAGCAGCAATAGCAGCAGCAATAACCCCTGGACGCTTTCCAGCAGGAGCAGCAACACCTTCTCGGCTTTCCTCTCCGTTTTCAGCAACAGCACGTACTAGGAGAAGTGTTGCTACAGTGCATGACGGGTATATACCCACTTTGCCTCCGACGAAGCAGCAGCAGCCGGTGAATCGCACGGAGATTGCTGCAACAGCAGCAGCAGCAGCAGCTGCTGCTGCTGCTGCTACTGCTGCTGCTCTAGATGAGCAGCGTGGGGCCTTTGGTTTCCAGGCAGCAGCATCAGCGCTCAACGATGACGAGCAGCAAAATGCAGCAGCGGACGGAAAAGCACCAAGCAGCAGCTGGCCCTTGTGGTTTGTCCTCGTCGGGATGTTGCTGCTGCTAGTAACAGTGCTGGGTATTTGCTTCTTTAATAGAGCAAGTGGAGAACGTAGGAATAGCAACAGCTGCCCTCCCGCTGCTGCTGCTGCTGCTGTTGTTGCTCCAGGTTCTTCTGCAACAGCAAACAGCAGCAGAAGGGGGTCGACAGCATCGTTCTCGGACGGCAGCAATCGTGCATTCCGTTTGTTTGACAGTGAGCTGTACGTACAGCACAATGGCTCACAGCCTGCTGCGTTGAGAGCAGCAGGAGCTGCTGCTCGCTCCGGCAGCAGCCGCAGCTCTATCAGCGCATTTAAACCCTCTTCGAAGTATCTCCCTGCCCCCTCCTCAGTGGATGCGTAAACCAGACAAACACAACAGCAAATGCAGCAGCTGCCGCAGCAGCAGCACCAACTGCAGCAACGGCAGCCGCAACAGCAACAGCAGAAGCCACGGCAGCGCCAACAACAACAGCAATAACAACAGCAACAGCAACAGCAACGGAAGCAGCAACAACAACAGCGTCACAGCAACAGCAACAGCGACAAGAGCAGCAGCAGCAACAGCATCAAAACCAGCAACACTCACGGCAGCAACGGCGGCAGCACCAGCCGTTTGGATTCAGAATGACAGCCTAAAGACACAAATACCAGCACGCTGCATACAAGGTTGTCATCGGCCTCCCTAGGGTTTAGGGTTTATGGTTTAGGGTTTAGGGTCTAGGGTTTAGGGATTTCTATTCCAGGGATAGGGTTTAGGGTTTGGAGTTTAGCAGTATCAGCAGCCGCAGCTGCAGCATCAGCAGCAGTAACAGCAACAGCAGCAGCTGAACAGCCCCCTTGTTGTTGGTGGGCATTGTGTATATGTTTGGGGTGTATTGACACCCCAGTAACTGCATTAATAACGTAGAGAGACTGAAATAAAAGAACAACGGAGTTTTGCCTTTTTAACTAGCAGCAGAAGAAGCTGCTAGCCTAAGGCTGCTTCGTCGGGACAGAAATATAACTCATTATTACATTATGTTTGTCCTGTGTTAGTGTTGTTGTTGTTGCTGCTGCTGCTGCTGTTATTGTTGTTCTTTTTGTGTATGGATTCTATTGTTGGCTGCTGCTGCTGCTCCTGATAGTGCTGCTGCTGCTGTGAGTGGGTTCGACCTTTTGTTGGTGCTGCTGCTGCTGTTAATTGGTTACGTTGCATACTGCTGCTGCTGCTGCTGCTCCTGTTCAGAGCATTGTTGGTGCTGTGGCACATCTAGTGTAGTGAATGCTGCTGCCATTCTTTCTGTCGATCTGCAACTACAAGCATCTGCATTGAAACGAGCTGTTTTATTGCTTTTATTTTAGACAATTTATTTTTGTATTCTACTTCATTTGTGTTTTTTGCTGCGCTTGTTGCCGTGTCTCTTTGGGTCTGCACTTGTTGTTTATTATTTTGTTTTCGTCCACAGATATTTGGTTTTTATTTGCTCTGCTTATAGCAGTCGATGGCGTTGTGTTTTATTCTTTTGTTTTCTTGTTGCATTTTTCGTTTGTCTTTCTTGGGGTGTATGTACACTGCGGGTTGGTGTTCAGGGCTAAAAGGCATCAAGACGCCTGTTTTTGTTTGTCTTTGTCTCGATCTTCTTTTTCTTCTGTTTTTCTCGGGCAGTCTTCTTCTTCATCTTCAGAAGAACAGAAGGAGCAGCGAGAGAAGACGGCGCTGGGGATATAGAGAAGAAAAACAGGAGAAGTGCAACACGCAGCAAAGAAATGCATGCAAATAGAAACAAGTGTTTCAGACACATCTGCACAAATACAAGCCAAAAGAACAACAACAACAAAAACAACAAACAACAAACAACAAACAACGAGCTGCTAACAAACAAACAGCACCAATAATAACAGTAACACTATTAATAATAACAATAATAATAATAGAAGCAATAATAATAAGAGGACGAAGCGAAGCGAGCAGACACCAACAAAAACAGAACGTAGAGGACGAGCAGATAGAGTGGCGCTGTTCTATGCTTTTCATTTATAGAAACCTAAAGGATGAAAGAAAAAGATTTGTAATATGAGGGCAAGACAAAGGATAGGAATACCTCTGCATTATTGTTATTATGCAATGAAACAAACACAGCTCTCGGGTATTTCCATATGTGCACAAATAAAATAATCAAATAAACAGCGAAAGACAATAAAACTTAAACTCTATCTGCACGAGTTCGTAAGGCCTACTACCTCTATGCCGACCGCTGCGGGCACTGGCTTGCTCCCGTGTCTCTAAGATTTATAATTATTTGTTACTTTTTACATTTTTAAACGAAGAAATCTAATAAAGACAATTTAATTTTGCTTTTAAATATGCTATTTCAGCTAAAGTGTAACGACCAAGTACAGACGCCGCGGCTTCGCTGAGCCGTATGTAGGCGCAGCGTTAAAGGGGAAAAAAGAGAGTTATTGAGCTCCGGATTGCGCATATCATTTGTTTGAAAATAAAAGATTAAATTGTTAATTAAAATAACTAAAAACAATAAACAATTGATGCACCGTTTATACCAAACGAAGCACTACCGGCATGCGGCGGCAGCGGTCTGTCTGTCTGCTGCTCGGCTGTTGTCGTCGATTGCGGTTTCTGTATGTTTACCGTGCAGCTTGAGGGCCTTTTGAGTAAAATTTTAATGCATTTGTTTGTTTTTTTGTGCAAATTTGAATATTTTATTTGTTTTCCATGAGTTTATGCAGAAAATTACGCAGAAAGAGAACAGACAGAACGCCGCTGAGGCAGCCAGCAGCCATCTATGGGCACACAACCAAACCGTCTGTGCGCTAGTGGTCTAGGAGCCGGGGAACAGCGACCGAATTTTCTCTCTTTGTTTTCTTCTTTTTCATTTTTAAACCCATTTTATTGTTTGAAAAGCTTTCAACTCTTCTTTAAACTAACCAAGGCTGAAGAAGGCAATCAAAAAGACAGCAGCAGGGCCCGGGGAGGCTCGCCGCCGATGGCCCTGGGATTGAGGTGCCTATACAGCTGAATTGGTGTAGAGAAGAAGGGAAATTAAGCCGCCTTAGTATATATTTTCTTTGGGTTTACCGCTGTATACTCCGAATTTCAATTGGAGAACAGGAAACATTGCATGGGTTTAGTGGGAGTGAGACCTTTAGCTCCATTGCATACAGCGAATAAACAAATACATCTTTTCTTCTCTTTTTCGTGGGCCTCAAAACCCCCTACAGAAGAAGGCCATCGAACCTTCTTCTTATTCTTGAGGTGTCTGTACACCTCAACGCAACAATGGTGGTGTGCAGCTGCTTAGGCTTAAAGCCAGACACCCAGCGGAAGACGCTGTGGTTGATGCTTGGATCTCTTCTTCTGTCTTGTGTCTTTGTTGTAATTAAGGAGAGGCATTTTGCGAGGGAAATACATCGATTGAGCCCTGTATTAACACACCTTGTGCCTGCTTCTTGCGTGCCTAGCCCCCAAAACGATGGAGTGTATGTACACCTCGAGTGCCCTATCCGGAACTCCTCTACCTTCTATCCCCCCGACAACTTCTCTAAAAATATAAATCCTTTCCATGGAGTCTTCTTTGAAGTTAAGGCGGAAATGTACCAATACCCCAGCTTCCCAGACTTCTTAGGACGCAGAAACCCTATTTGGGCCGATCACCTCGTAAGCAAAAACACTATTCTAGGGTTTAGGGTTTAGGGTTTAGGGTTTTCGGTTGATGAATTAGGGAGTATCGTTTATGGCTAAGGGACTAGGGTTTAGGGGATAAGGTTTATTAATAATGTATACTGCATGCAATTTGGGGTTTATGTTGTGCTGTGCATGCAATGCGCGCGTTGTATGCATGCAATATGGGGTGCATGCATGCAACTTGGGGTGTATGCATGCACTTTTGGGTGTATGCATGCATGCAGTTTGGGGTGTATGTTGTGTTCTGCATGCAGGTGCCCGGGTCTGCGTGGAGTCTCTTTGACGGTTTGCGTAACCCCGATTTCTTCCCTCACGTACCAGGCATCGGCCGCCAGGCAAGTAAACCCTAAACCCTAAACCCTAGCCTCTAGCCTTAAACTGCAGAGGGTATTGTCTCCCCTAGCAATCCAACAAAACCACTTTTGATTTCATAACCCCAATATTGGTAATTACATTATCTAGAAACTTCTCCTGCTGCTGCTGTTGCTGTTGCTGCTGCTGCTGTTGTCTCTGTGTTGTTGCTGCAGCTTGCCTCAGGTTTAAAGGCCGGTGGCTTTAGTTTGCCTGGAGAGTTTGCTTCGTATTTCCGCACGAAGCAGCAGCTTCCGCTGCAGGACGACGGGGTGTACAAACAGCAGCAGGAGCGGCCTCCAAGGAAGCTGAACTCGGAGACAACTTTGGTATATAATAATTTTCTTTATTCAGGCAATCCTTTAAAGCCCCAAATAGGAGACATACGCATTTCCTTCTGGGCGAATGCAAACTCTCATATATCCCTCATTGCAAAGCAAATCAATAAACCCTTCTTCGGCTCTCCTAGAGCCGTACTAGCAACTGCAGCAGCAGCACCAGCTGTAGCATCAAACGAGGTAACAAACAAACCTGCATGCATGCAATACATTCAATGCATGCATGCATGCATGTGATACATCCGCGTGCATACGCCTCAACTCTACCCAACGCAACGCCCCTCTTTTCTCTGTCTTGTTTCTTTATTTTTGGGCTCTTACAGCCTCTCAAGTCTCTATAGATGAACATATATATATATATATATATATATATATATATATGAACCTAGATATATACGCATATATATATATATGTATCTGTATATGTATGTATATATCTGTAGATATACAAATATATGTATATATATATATATATATATATATATATGTAGGTGTGCGCATATATATATGTGCATGTGCGTGTGTGCGTGTGTGTATACATATATAATAATGCATTTATATAAATAATAGATATAAAAATATGTTTTATATTTGCGATATTCTCTATGCATATTTATTGATGTATAGAAAGCTGCATGCGTTTGTTGTTGTTGGTCGGTTGTGGATTTTGTATGTTTATTTTGTTCTTCTCTTTTATTTGTGTTTTTTGTGTTAATCCTCGTTTAATTTGTTTGTGTTTGTTTGATTTCTTTGTTTTGGTTCTTATTTGTTTTGTTGCGTTGGTAGTCTCTCTGTATGACTTAGCATAGCATATGCGTATAAAATTTCTTTAATATATTGATGTTTATTATTATTATTACTACTTATTATTTATGAATATTTATGAATATTGTTATTTGTTTTTATTTTATTTGTTTTGTTCAGGGGGCATTTATTACAATTGCTGCAGAGGGTGACTATGAACCTCAGCGTTTAGTAGAACGCCATTTAAAAGACTTGGGCTTCCCTTCTTCTTTTGTTTGGTGCTGGCGTCTCGCTGCTTTTTGCTTCTTTTTTCTTCTTTTCGTCTCCGTAGATAAATGCCAGCCGCAGTCAACACATCCTACTCAAGCGCCATTTGTAAGACACTCCTTTTCAAGCCCTCAAGGCGGATATATATATTATATATATGCATATATATGCATATATATAATATAAATATATATGCGTATATACGCATATATATAATATAAATATATATGCGTATATATGCATATATAGATATGTATGTATACACCCGCATATACATACGCATAGATGCATATTTATAGATATACGTTTATATATATATATATATATATATATGCATATATATATGCCCCCTAAACATATTTGTTTATTGAGTGAAGAAAATAATCAATTTACCCACTTAAATATAATTTTGTCAATGCGTATCTGTTTATTTGTTTATTTGTTTTTCTGAAGATGTTTGCAAACTTATGCGTATATTTTTCTGTTTCCTCTCACATTGATGTACTTATTTATTTATTATTAAATTTATTTATTTATTTTGCTGTCTGCTTGTTACAGCCCTTCTGGACTCGGGTGGTTCTTGCTGCTCTTGCTGCAGCAGCAGCAACATTTTTGCTGCTGGCTGCTGCGTGGTGGGGTGTAGAGGCAGCTGCTGGTCGCCGCTTGGCTGTGGCTGCTGCAGCAGTTGCTGCTGCTGCTGTTGTCTTCCGGTGTGTCTCCTGGTGTTGCTCGTGCTGCTGATGCTGCTGCTGTTGCTGCTTGATGATGCTGCTGCTGCTGCTGCTGCTTGATGCTGCTGCAGTTGCTGTTGCTGCGTGCTGCTCTCGCTGCTTGCTTGGCTTTCATGGTGGTATGCTGTTGAAGTGTAGTTGTTGTTATCTGGCTTGCATTTAACTTATTCCTTTTGCTGCTGTGCTGCTGCGTTGGTGCTGCAGGCTGGTGCTGCCGCGGCTGCTGCCCGCAACGCCGCAAGTAGAGCAGAACAGCAGCGGAGGTAAATATTACGACTTGGGAATTTGTTTGCAAGTGCCCAGCGGCATGTCTGCTGCTGCAGGAGCAGGAGGAGCAGCAGCAGCAGCAGACTCACAAGCAGCAGCAGCACCAGAGCATAAGCAAGGCACTGTTATTAGGTGGACAACCACTCCTGCTCTGGGCCCGCTGCTGCAAGACACCATCAGAAAGTGTCCTGGTATTGCTGCTGCTTCTCCTGGTAGTGCTGCAGCATCACCAGCAACAGTCACCAGCACAACAGCTGCAGCCTCCTCTGATGCCTCTTCTGTCTATGGTGCTGCTTATAAGAAAAGCGCTGCAGTTGGGGTGTATGCACAGCAGCCATTCCTCCAAACAAGGGCAGGGAGCCTCACCAACATCTCCCCACACATCGCCCCACAAAAATCCGCTTCCCAGGGCTCCATTTAAATGACCCGAATTTATATTTAGATGTAAATATATAAATATAAATTATATACATAGATATATAGAGATAAATATATGTATATATATAGATGGCATATAGAAATATAGTGATATATGTAACTGTGCATGCATATATATACATATATATATATATATATGTATAGAATAGTTCTGGTTTATAAGTATGTGCAGATGAATGTTGGTGTCTATATACTTAACGGGATACACGCAAATAGGCATATATATATATATATTTGTACATATATATGTATAAAAATGCTTGCATACGCTTGCCTTGTTTTATTTTATCGAAGAGTGGCTGCAACAAGTAGCAAGAGCTCTTCTTGCCTCAGACACGCAGAGAGATAAAAGAACAGCAGAGGCGTCGTGTGTCTCTATACAGTTGTATATATATGTATATATATACATATATATATATATATATATATATATATATATCTGCAGACGTGGCCACTACTGCATGCTGGGCCCACGTTGAAGAGAGAAAGAGAGAGGATGAACAAATATGCAAATAGACAGGAGACAAGATAAATTCCTGAATTAAATTATGGATAGCTGTGCATACAGCGGAGACAAAGCCGGCGCATATTACATCGACAGATATCTGAGGTGTGGAGATACACCCGAAAGGAACAGACAAAGAAAGGGGAATAAGAGGCCCTTAATCATTCTTTCTATTTATACAACTTCCTCTTCCTTCTTAATCTCGCCTCCCCCTGTTGCCATACAAACCTGCAAAACAATTAAACCCTATACACCCCAACTGCGCGTGCATTATACAATTATCGTAGCTATTATGAAGATGCAACTAGACGTCACCGCATGCATGCGTGCAGCCTTCTCTTCTGCATGTAGGTAATAATAACAACAATTTCTGATTAATAATATTAATAATAGTAAGCAATGGCTAAAAATAATAATAATAATGATAATAATAATAATAATCAACCAAGTACTCATGATCACTTAAATTTCTTTTGTTATACTATGAGTACTGCAGCAAATATATCACACAGCGGATAGCGTAAAGGTGCTTTCTTGTCGCTGTTATCCAAACATTTAAATTATAAATGATGGCGAAGAGATGAAAGAAGGAGAGAAAAACAACGAAGGAGAAGACGTTTGCAACAGAGGCGGGGCTGTGGCGTTGGTGACCGTGCGGCAATTGAGGGGGCTCAAGCGCTACAAATCCATGTTTTTATTCCTGAAAATATAAATATGGTTTTGATTTTACATTTAAAATGTCCTTTTAATTTTCCAAAACCGCTTATTTCATTGTAGAAACGTCCGCTGTCCATTGGTCTGCCGCCCCCTTCACCTGGGTGTTGCCTCACGCACACCGCAAAAGAGTGCACACAGGAGCCTCTAAAAAAACAAAAAGAATTGAAAGTTTAATTGTTTATTCTTTTAAAAATTAAAAATGTTTCAAAACATCAAAAGGAATTTATTTGGAGGCGATTCCGCCGACACCCTCGCAGGTGACTGGACCAGCTGGGGTGTACAAGCAGCTGGATTGTGCAAATACATGAAAAAAGGGTTTTATATATCTTTAATTAATGTTTGTTTATTGTATTCACCTATTTTTTGTGTTCACTCCTTGCGTGTGTGCATGCATGCGAGCAACTAATGCCTATGTTTCGCGTGGTGGGCTGAGGGCTTAGGGTTTACGGTTTAGGGTTTTGGTCTTTTCTCCTCTTTCTCTCTGCTCTGCTGCTGTCTATTTAATTGTTATTGCTATCTGGCTGTTCGTATTTGCATACCTCCGAACATGGAGTGAATGCCTCCTCTTAACCCTTAACTCTCTCTTAACCCTAGACCTCTTTTTGCTGTTTGCTTGTTTTATTTTTTTGTGTAACCTGTGCTGTATGTACACCCCGTTCTGCCCTTCTGTCTGTCGCCGATACAGAAGCTGTAAAGGAGCAAAGAAGACATATTGCTCGTTCTTTGAGAGCTCTGGACAGGCAACACCAAAAGGCAGAGGCAGAACAACAAAAGCTCCTCGCCCAGTTAAAAGCACAAGCTGTCGCCGGAGTATATTCCAAACCCTAAACCCTAAATCCTAAATCCCAAACCCTAAACCCTTGGCCGCAACCCTAATCCCCATACAATCAACCCTTGGCAGCTGAAATCGTAAACACTGAGCCCCAAACTCTAAACCGTAAACCCTTGTGCTAAACCCTAAACCCTAAACCCTAAACCCTGACCCGTGGAGTGTTTGAACTGGCTGCAGCACATTAACAAACTCCAAACCAAACAACTGCTTCTCCTCAGACGAAGACAGGACGCCATTTTGCGTTGCAAAGCTCAGCTGGGAACGGCTGACCTCCAGGCAAACCCTCACCCCCAAACTCTAAACCCTAAACCCTAAAACCTAAGGGCTGAACAAGACTGCGCAAGGCGTATAGCTTCCAGACACGCCGCACTTCCTCCTGGTGCCATGCACCAAGAAGAATAAAGGCAGAGCTCGGAGAAAAGGGCTTAGGGTTTAAGGTTTAGGGTTTAGGGTTTGGGATGTGGCAGGTCCAGCAGCAACAAGCGACTCAAGAGCTACACAGACACTTCACGGGCTGCGCCAAGGTGCGACAGGAAGCCGCTCCCTACCCTTAAACCCTAAACCCTAAACCCTCAACCCTAGGCCCTAGATATCTGAGGGTTAAGGGGTTGTGGTGCTGCTGCAGCTCCTCTCCCTTGCTAATAAAGCCGCTGACCTCCCAACGATGCAGCTGGCAGTCAAAGGCTTCACCAGGGAGTCGCAGAAGCTAGGCTTGCTGGTACTAAACCCTAAACCCCAAACCCTAATCCCTAAACCCTAAACCCTAAACACAAAAACCCTTAACCCTAAACCCGAATCCTACACCCTAGCTCTTGAACCGTAGCCCTACCTGTCAGACGCGCAGTCTAATCCCCAAGCCTTAAACCCTAAACCCTAAACCCTAAACCCTAAACCCCAATGCTTTGCTGTCTCGTGGTGCTCGTCAGGATGAAATGCTGAACGAAGTCCTCGAAGATGGAACGGCCCATTTTGTCAGTTCCCTCCAAACCCTAATCCCTAAACCCTAAGCCCTAAACCCTAAACGCTTAACTATAAGCCCTCATCGACTCATGGACCCCACCTGTTAGACCCACACCCTAAACCCGGTGTCTCGTTACCACTTCTTATTGCTTAACAAGTGCTTTGGCTTTAGGGTTTAGTGTTTAGTGTTTAGGGTTTAGGGTTTAGGGTTTAGGGATTCAGAACTTGGGCTGCGCTGCAGGAAGACGAAGAGGAGACAGAAGAAGAGATCCACCAGGAGCTTATGGAATATGCAAGCATAGAAATTGAGAGACAAGTCAAACCCTAAACCCTAAACACTAAACCCTAAACCCTAAGGCAGGCCTGCTGCCAGGCAAACCTTTCGCTTGTCAGACCTAAAGGGTTAATGTTTAGGGTTTAGGGTTTATAAATGGAGATTCAATGAAAAACCCCAGAAACCCTTTGCCCACAAAAGCACTAGGTGAAGAGGCTATAAACCCTAAACCCTAACTCTAAACCCTAAATCCTAAACCCTAAACAGTTAAGTTGTCTGTGCTGCTCAGCTACCGGTTGGGTGTTCGTCGGCCAGAGAGGCCCCTCTACTAGGGCAGGTGCAGCAGCAGCAGCAGCAGCAGGTGCAGCAGCAGCAGGTGCAGCAGCAGCAGCGGCAGCAGCAGCAGGCCGGGAGGAAGCCGAAGCAATCGTTGCTGCAAAAGCTTTCGTGCACCCCGCGGACAGGAGCCAGATCCCCGTGGCTATGTGCCTCAAACCCTCAACCCTAAACCCTAAACCCTAAAATCCTTAACTTTAGGACATATTGTCTAACTAGCCCTGTGGAGCTGAACCCTCTCCTTCTTGACTTCTCTTTCCCAGGGGAAGTCTATAGTTTAGGGTTTAGGGTTTAGGGTTTGCGGCGTGTGTACTGCAGCAAAAGACGAAGCGGCAATGGCTGAGCAACTCGAGCAGCGGCTGGGGTCTCTTCTACGTTAGGGTTTAGGGTTTAGGGTTTAGAAGACATTCTTTTTAGGGTTTTCCATTGTCGTTTTTTCTTTTAAGAAGTCCTTGACTGGAGTTACTGTCTCTTTCTTTGCTGTGTTTTGTGTATTTTGGGTTCCTTGCAGTCGAGGGTTTAGGGTTTAGGATTTAGGGTTTAGGGTTTACTAAGGTTATTAGCAGCAGATTTGCAATAAAAATTCGAGTTGATTGTCAAATAAATAACGAAAACCCTAAAAAACCCTGCATGCTGCAACCACCAGCAATAAGGGTTTTCCCCTTTAGGGGAAGGGTTTAGGGTTTAGGGTTTAGGGTTTAGGGTTTAGGGGATTTAAACAGCGGTGCATGCGGCACTGCAACAATGATAAAAAGAAGCAAAAAGAGACAAAGGGAGGTAAAAGGAGACAGAAGGAAAAACGAAAATAATAAAAAAGCACAAAGGGAGACAAATAAATAAAAAATAAGGAGGGAAATAAATAATAAAAGGCAAGCACTAACCCCTTATATAATGTTATTTTAAATAGAGAGACAATAAGAGACAAACAAAAGAAGAAATATAAGTATAAATATAAATATATATTAATATTTATTACAAATATTAATATAACAAATAAACAAGACACGGAAAGAGACAGAAGAACAACAGATACAACAAATAATAACCACCAGTACTACATTATAATATTCATAACAATCATAATAATAATAACAATAATAATAATAATAATATTAATAATAATAATAATAACAATAATAACACCAATAATGATAATAAGAAAAAGCAAAAGAAGAAAAAGAGTAAAGCAGTTGTTGTTTATGTGTTTGTTAATTTGTCTGTCTTTTTGTTTGTCTACCCAAAGGAGATAACAAGAAAAAACAAGTAAATAAATAAATAAATAAATAAATAAATGCAAACAAAGACAAACTAACAAACAAATAAAGATAGATAGAAAGAGAGATAGGCATGCAGCAGGAAACAAAACAACAGAGATAACATGCAAGAAAGTAAAGACAGACAAACAAACAAACGGAGACAAACACAAGAAAAAGAAACAGACAGAGCCAACAGCCGCAGCAGCAGGAGATAGAAGTTAAGACTGAGGCAAGGCAGCACAAAGGGTTTAGGGTTTAGGGTTTAGGGTTTGTGGGCCTCAACAGCAACAACAACAGGGGAAGAAGAGACAGAGTGTTGCAGCAAGGAGACAGACGCTGCAAGAACAGCAAAACCCTCAGCTTCAGCCCCTAATAAACCCTCTTTGCAGCCTTCTTCTATACCCAGCTAGCTAGCTAGCTAGCGGGATAACTAACCAGCTAGCTAACTAGCTAGCCACCCAGCCAACTAGCTAGCTAGCCGGTTAGCTAGCTAGCTAGCTAGCCAGTTAGATAGCTAGCTAACTAGCTAACGAGGCATTGCATAGGCCTGCGCCTCCGCCTCCTCCCTCAAGACTGAGGCCTTTCGTCTGGTGTATGCTTGCTGTGTACTTCCGGGGAGAAGGAAAGCAGGAGGAGGAGCAGAAGAAAAAGCTGCAAGAAATTAAAAAAAGATATACTAACAATTTATTATAGGAAATATAATAAACAAACAAACAAACAGATAGATAAAGCTGCTCAGTTGAATAGTTGTTTGCTCTCGCCTATAGTTCTGTCTCTACTTGGTGACTGTATATGTGCAGGTTCTGTAACTTGCAGCACCAGCAGCTGCTGCTGCTGCGGTGGCTGCTTCCCATGGTGCAATACTTGCTGCTGCTGCTGCAACAGCTGCTGCGGATGCTGCTGTTGACTGTTCTCTCACCAGGGGGCGCAGTGTCTGCGTATTGCTGCAGCTCTTCTCTCTTCATTTGCTGCTGCAAACCCTCAAACCAACTTTCTCTTGATACCTTTACTGCTGCTGCTGCTGCTGCTACACCCGGACCCCCAAGTGCAGCAAAATTTCCAGGGTATAACAGCCCCTGCTGCTGCTGCGGCGGTTGCAACAGCTTCTGCTGCTGCTGCTGCTGCAGCAAATGCTGCTGTTGCTGCAACAACTGCTGCTGCTGAGGAAGAGGAGGGGAAGGACGAGGCACGGGTCGGGGAGGAGAGATGATATCTGAAACAGAAAACACCACAAGACAAACCCTAAACCCTAAACCCTAAACCCTTAACCCTAAATCCTGCTGATGCATAAATCACAGCAGCAACAACCCTTCCCTGCAGCAGTTTGTGCAATTTATCAATGCCTCTGCTTTTATAATCTACAAAATAGGGTTTAGGGTGTAGGGTTTAGGGTTTAGGGTTTAGGAGTACCGTAGAGAGGCCGGACGATGCCTGGGGCCTTAATGAGGTCGTAAGTGTTGGTTTGCGGCTTCGATGCTCTAAAAGGCTGCTGCTGCTGCTGCTGCTGCATGCAGAGTGCAGCAGAGCAGAAACCAGCTTCACCCACCTGGGAGATATCTCTTTCCTAAACCACGCAACAAAACACAAAACCCTAAACCCTAAACCCTAAACCCTAAAAGCGAGAGAGAAACGCCCCACACTGTCAACCGCGACCCAGCTGATGCGTCAAATGCCCAGTCGCCGTAATTAGGGTTTAAGGTTTAGGGTTTAGGGTTTAGGGTTTCTGACAGGTGTCGTGTTGCTTGCGGTCTCCTGTTCTTCTGTTGCAGCAAATACAGCCTGCATATTTTCTTTGCGTTGTTTTTCTTCTGTCGTTTTTCTTTTGACTTGCACCACCGCCACAGACTGCTGAACTCGAGAGACTTTAGCTACAGACGCCAACTGCAGCAAACAGCAGCAACAACAGCAGCAGCAGCAGTAGCAGCAGCAGCAGGAGGAGCAGCAGCAGTAGTAGCAGCAGCATAGATACACAAGAGATAGAGCAGGGCGTGCTTGTAAGAGCAGTAACACGAGCTTCTGCAGCAGCAGCAGCAGCAGCAAGAGCAGCAGGAACGGCAGCAGAGAGAGGAAAGGGGGTTAAGCGGGGGGCTGCAACAGCAGATAAAGACAGAGTCCAGCTGTACGTACACCTGAAAGCATCACAGTGTTGTGGGTCCTGCTTGCTTCTGCTGCTGCCTTCTGCAACAACTCTGAGACGCTTGGGATCGTCTCCACTCCCTTCATGTGGGGTGGCAGCTTAAACCCTGGCTGTTGTTGTTGCTGCTGCTGCTGCTGGAGTTGCTGTGGCTGCTTCTGCTGCTGCTGCTGCTGTAGCTGCTGCTGCTGCTGCTGCTGCAGCTGGGGCACTGGGACGCCCCCCACGATGAAGCGGCACTCCGATGGCTGCACCTCCACGTGCGCCCCACCCTGCAGCAAAACCTAAAACCCTAGACCCTAAACCCTAAAACCCTAAAACCCTAAACCCTAAAACCCTAAACCCTAAGCCTTAACCAGTTAACCCTAAACCCCACACCCCTAAACCCTAATCCCTAATCCCTAAAACCGTAGACCATCGGCCTTAACCAGTAAACCCTAAACCCTAAAACCGTAAACCCTAATACCCTAAACCCTAGGCCTTAAGCAGTAAACCCTAAACCCTAAACCCTAAACCCTACCTTGAGCCGCACGATAAGGTTATTGGCTGCGCTGATGCCGACGACGTTTCCTTTGCCTCCCGATTTCAGGTGTACAGACACCTCTTCAGCAAAGGGACTCTCCTCTAAGGCCCTGTTGCTGTTGCTGCTGCAGCTGGTGTTTCTGCTGCTCTGTCTGCTGCAGCTAGTCGCCTGCTCCCCTGCTGTTGCTGCTGCTCCTCCTGCTCCTGCTGCTGCTCCTGCTGCTTCCAACTCCTGGCTCTCAGGAAGGAAGACGGGGAGCTTAATGGGCGGCAGCGGCGTCGGCTCCTGCGACTTCAGGCTGCAGCAGCAGCAGCAGCAGCAGCAGCAGCAGCAGCAGCAACAGCAACAACAGCAGATACGCACAAACCGGAAATGAAGTACTCATGGAACTAGACAAACAGCAAACGCAGCAGCAACAACAACTGCAGCAGCAACAGCAGCAATAACAACAGCAACAGCAAACAACAAACAACAAACAACAAACAAGAGCAGCAGCAGCAACAACAACACCAACAGCAGCAGCAGTAGCAACAACAACAGCAGCAGCAGCAGCATTGGTCTTTACCCATTGCATATATTTCGGAGTCCGTCTGCAAGTGTCCAATGTGCGGGTGCTTTCTTGCGTTGCTGCTGCTGCTGCTGCTGCTGCAGCTTGAGAGCAGCAGCAGCAGCACTAACGTGTTCTATAGGAGTCTCAGCAAAGCGCTGCAGCTGCGCTGCGCTGTTAGCAAATGCAGCAAGACGGTTAAGTTCTTCGAGCTTATCTACATGCGGCAGCAAAGACAGAGTTAAGGAAGGCCAGAGGCGCTTCTCGCGGCCGTCAGGTGTACATGCAGCTTCTGGGACTATCAGACGACCCCCCTTGGTGCTGCTGCTGCTGCTGCTGCTTGGGGAAGCATCCTGTTGCTGCTGTTGCTGCTGCTGCGAATCCGTTGAGGCTAGACGCTCCTCCGCATCTTGCTGCTGCTGCTCCTGTTGCTCGTCAGACTGCAGATTGGTATCCTGCTGCTGCTCCTGTTCTTGTTGCTGCTGCTTCGAGCTCTTCCTGCTGCTGCTGCTCGATTGCCGCCGGTCTCCGTTGAGCTCCTCGTCCTGCTGTTGCTGCTGCTGCTGCTGCTGCTGCTGCTGCGGGGGTATCCAGGGGTTGCTGTTGCTTGTAAGATCTTCTTCGCTGCTTCCTCTAAGGGGGGAGGCCCCGTAGTTGCTGTTGCTGCTGCTGTTGCTGCCGCTGCTGCTGCCGTCCGTTGAGTGCAGCAGCAAATGGTCTTCTAGGCTGCCTGGGTATGTGGTGACTGCAACGAGTTTCCCTGTCTTTACTGTTCTTGCTGTTGCTGCTGTTGCTGCTGCTGCTGCTGCTGCTGCTTCATTTGCGAGCATGTAGAGAGTTGCCGAGCTTGACCGGCTAGACAGCTCGTCGCTTGATGCTGCTGCTGCTGCTGCTGCAGCTGCAGCTGCTGCTGCTGCCTCAGCTGTAGCTTGCCTGCGGGTCTGAATGAAGAGAGCATGCTGATGCTGCTTAGTGTGCAGGCGCTGCGGCTGCTGCTGCTGCTGCTGCTGCTTGGGCCGCTGCAGCTTTGCAGGCCGCACCCGCTGCGGGGTGTCGATGGAGACTCCTAACATTGTAAGAGAAGCTGTCTAGGGTTTAGGGTGTAGGGTTTAGGGTTTAGGGTTTAGGGCTTGGAGGGAGGGGAAGGCCGCCCCCGTTCCAATGGTGTTGCTGCCGTCGGCAGCAGCAGCAGCAGCAGCAGCAGCGTCGGCGCCGTAGAGTTTCTGCTGCAGCTTTTTCTTGAAAGATATTTGTTGTTATATCTCTGTTTTGATTTATTTAAAGAGAAACAAAAAGAAGAAAAAGAAAAGGAGTGGATTGCAGCAAAGGGGCCGCTGCACTCGAGCGAATCGACGGCAGCACCGGCTGCTGCTGCGGCGCTACCTGAAGTTAAGGGTTTAGGGTTTAGGGCTTAGGGTTTAGGGTTTAGGCTTTATCTCTGTACGGGAAGGTCAAAAAAGAACAAACAACAAATGCTTTTAGAGAAACAACATGCAACACAAACTCAGGCTACCCTCTGGCTAGTTGCTGCTGCTGCTGTTGCTGCTGCTGCTGCTGCCTCTGTTGCTGCTGCCGGCTAGGTAAACCATAAACCTTCCTACTGCATTTTGTTTATTCTATTTTAATGATAATACCGCAGCAACAACAACAATAGCAGCAGCAGCAGCTGCTGCTGCTGCTGCTGCAGCGGAGACCGCCGCCGAACCCCTGTGCGCCGTTTGCAGTACAGACTCGTTCTAAACCCTAAACCCTAAACCCTAAAACCCTAAACCCTAAACTTCAACCCCTATACTCTAGGCTCTACACCCTAAAACCCTAAAGAAAGAACCCTAAACCCTAATACCGTAGAACCTGAAACCCTAGTCTTTAAACCCTAATCTCAAACCCTAAACTCTATACTAAAAACCCTAAACCCTAAACCCTCAATGCTATGTCCAATGTCTCCCCTTTCACTTTTAATTAGGGTTTAGCGTTCACTGCATCAGCAGCCCCTAAATATTTGTTTGGGGTGTACAGGCACCTCGCTGCCCCACTACCGCCGGCAGCTCGAGGTGTACGTACACCTGAAGCTGCTGCTGCTGCTACAGCAGCAGCAAGCGCATGCAAAAAGCTATCAACACGGAGAACAGACGAACAGGAGTGTCCTAAAACTGCTGCTGCAGCAGCATAACAACCAAGTGCTGCACCAACAGCCTTCGGGCCCCTTCTGCTGCTGCTGTTGCTGCTGCTGTTGCTGTTGGGGCAGCAGAAGCAGCACCAGCTGGCGGCAGCTGCTTTGCTACCGGATCAGCCGAGAAGGCACTATGTAGCGAGCTTGCTAGCCAAGTAGTACAGCTAGCTAGCTAGTTAGTTAGGGACGGCGGTTAGTTAGCTAGCTAGCTAGATAGATAGATCGCTAGCTATCTAGCTAGCTAGCTATATAGCTAGCTAGCTGCTGTACTGCCGAGAAGCAGCAGCAGACAATTCCGTCTTCGTCATGGAAAACCGAGACGGATATACACCTCAAACGTGCTAGCCAGCTAGCTAGATATATAGCTAGCTAGCTAGCTAGGGGAAGATACTCAGCTAGCTAACTGCGGCTACCGCCGCTGCTGCAGCTACCTAGCTGCTGCAGCTGTTGCAGCTAGCTAGAAGGTACAGGCTCCTTGTGCATAGGCGACCCATGTGGCGAACTGACGGCCTCAATGCAGCTGCTGCAGCTGCTGCTGTTGCTGCTTCCGTTGCTGCTGCTTCTGCATGCTGCAGCAGAGTTTTCAGCCAAGCCGGTCCTGCTCCCAACGCCCCCTGCTGCTGTTGCTGCTGCTGTTGCTGCTGCAGGGGAACCGACTTCAAGGCGCAGCTGCTGCTGCCGCGTGAAGAAGGGTAGCAGCTGTTCGTCTCCCTCAGCATCGCTGCACGAGGCGTCTGCAGCAGCAGCAGCAGCAGCAGCAGCTGCTGCTGCTGCTGCTGCTGATGCTGCTGCTGCTTCTGGATCTCGTATATCTGCTACCTCTGTTGCTGCAGCAGCAACGCCAGCAGCAGTTCGCGCGAGGTGTGCTGCTTTTTCTGCTGTTTCTTCGGCTGTTCCCAGGCCTGCTGCTGCTGCCGCTTCTGCTGCTGCTGCTGCTGCTGCTGCAGCAACCAGAGGCTGCACGGCCGCTGCTCCCTGAGCTGCAGCAGCAGCAGCTGCTGCTGCAGCAGCAGCAGCAAGAGGCTCATAGCAGCCCAGCTGCTCCTTACATGCAAGAAAAGCAGCATCTTCTGTCTGTTTTCCTGCTGCTGCTGCTGCTTGAGGAAGGGGGCCTCCAAGATTAGGTACAGGGTGCTTCTGCTGCTGCTGCTCTTGTGGTTGCTTCACCTGCTGCCGCTGCTGCAGCATCACTTGCGGCTGCTTCTCAGATGGCAGCGCTGCAGCAGCAGCTGTTGCCGCAGCTGTTGCTGAAGCTGTTGCTGCAGAGTCATCGGCCGCTTCACTCACCCGCTCCCGCTCTTGCTGCTGCTGCTGTTGCTGCGGTGTTCCTGCTGCTGCAGCAGCACCCGAAAGCATCGGGCCCCGACGTTGCCCGAAAAGCGGGGGTGAAGCAGCACCTTGCCTCAAGGCGAGCTGCTGCTTCTGCTTTTGCTGCTGTTGCTGCTGCTGCTGCTGCTGCTCGAGGGCCCCTCCTCGCAGCAGCAGCCGCTGTCTCAATTCTTCATGAAAAGAAATGCCTTTTGCAGCTGCAGTCCCTCGAGGGGATCCGGACGGCGTCCGTCGGACTTGCTGCTGCTGCTGCTGCTGCTGCTGCTGCTGCGTTGCTGCTGTTGCGTCTGCTGGTTCTGCTGCTGCAGCAACTTGTTTCTGCTTCTGCTGCTGCTGCTGCTTGTGGCCGTCTGCCTGCTCTGGACTCCCAAAAGGAATTCTTGTGCTTTGTCGCGGCTTAGCAGCAGCAGCAGCAGCTGCTGCTGCTGCTGCAGCAAGCTGCAGTGGCATTAGCTGCGAGTCCTGGAGCCTGGTAGCAGGGCCTTGGGGCCTCAGAGGAGGAGACAGCGCGCACGGCTCCCTAAGGAGACGCTCTTCTGATTGTTCTGCTGCTGCTGTTGCTGTTGCTGCTGTTGCTGCTGTTGCTGCTGCCTTCTCACCGCCTCTGGGGCTCAGCTTCTGTTCACGCTGCTGCTGCCGCAGCAGCAGCAGCGCCGAGTCTTCCGTGCACTCCCTGCGAATGGCAGCAAATAAATCACGGCGGGGCCTTATAAAGCTATTCTTGCTGCCGTTGCTGCTGCTGCTGCTGTTGTTGCTGCTGCCGGCGTTGCTGTTGTCGGTGCAGAGGGATGACTGCTGCTGCAGTTGTTGGTTGGAAGAGCGAGACTGAGGCGCTGTTCTGTTGTTGCTGTTGCTGCTGCTGCTGCTGTTGCTGGTAGCATCTGATACGTGCAGCGGTTGCAAGACCGATTGAGCCAGCCCCCTGCTGCTGTTGTCGCTGCTGCTGCTGCCGCTGCTGTTGCTGTTGTTGCAGCTGCAGATGCCGTTGTTGCTGATTCCGGAGCCGGCAGCAGCTCGATCATTGCTCGTCCTGTTGCTGCCACTGTCGCTGCTGCTGTTTCTGTTGCTGCTGCTGCAGTTGTTTGCTGCAGCAGCAGCAGCAAGAGCAGCAGGCGAAGACGGTGACTCACTCAGGCGGCTGCGGCGCAGCAGCGGCTGAGGCTGAAAGAGTGGCAGCTCCGCGAGGCTGCTGCTGCTGCTGCTGCTGTTGCTGTTGCCGTTGCTGCTGCTGTTGCTGCTGCTGTCGCTGTTGTCTCTGGTGCATGCAGCAGTAGAGGACTGACAGTCTGAGAGAGGCTCTTTATAAAGACCTTTCCCAGTTAGTGCTGCTTCTGCTGCTGCTGTTTCTGCTGCTGCAAGTGCTGCTGCTGCTGCAGGAGCTGCTGATGCACCTCCTTGAGGGGGCGGCAACAGCAGCGGGGCTCCGTATGCTTCTACTGCTGCTGCTGCTTCTCCTGCTGGGCGCAACGCTGGGGCAGGGCCTGACAACTTGGGAAGGTCGCTGCTGCTGCTGCTGCTGCTGTTGCTGCTGCTGCTGTTGCTGTTGCTGCTGCTGCTGTTGCTGCTGCTGCTGCTCCTGCTGCTGCTTCGAGCCAGCCGAGGCGGACTTTGCTGCTGCGGTTCTTGTAGGCTGATGGAGGCGTTGCTGCTGCTGCTCTGCACGCGCAGCAGCAGCCGTCGCGGGGGAACCGTTGGAGCAGCAGCTGCAGCAGCGGCAGCAGAGCCGGGACTCCCTACGTCTGTCGCTGCAGCACCTTTTCCTGCTGCTGATGCTGTTGCTGTCAGGGCAGCAGCAGCTGCTGCTGCTGAAGGCAGCGACGTAGAGCCAAGCGACTCAACAGGCAGCAGCAGAGAGCGCCGAGTGCTGCTGTTCCAGTCTCCCGGCTGTCGCTGCTGCTGCTGCTGCTGCTGCTGCAGCTCTTGCTGCTGCAGCTGCTGCGGCGGCGGTGGGGGTTCTGGTCTTTGAATCGACAGAGACAGCGAAGGAATTCCCGTTGCTGCAGGCGACGTAGGTGCTGCTGCTGCTGCTGCTGCAGTTGTTGTGGTTGCTGCTGTTGCTGTTGCTGCTGCTGCTCGCCCCTGCTGCAGGCCATCCACTCTGGATAGCGCAGCAGGGGACCGCCTCGCCGGAAGCCTCAGAGTGGCAACCGATTCCTGCTGCTGCTGCTGCTGCTGCAAGTGCTGCTGCTGCAAGTTCTGTTGCTGCAAGTGCTGCTGCTGCAAGTGCTGCTGCTGCTGCAAGTGCTGTTGCTGCTGCATAGGTGTTTGCTGCGTAAGGTGCAGCTGCGACAGCTGAGGCAGCAAATGAGACGGAGTCTGCAAAGATAGCTGCTGCTGCTGTTGTTCTTGCTGCTGCTGCTGCTGCAGGTGCTGCTGCTGCAGGTACTGCTGCTGCAGGTGCTGCTGCTGCAGGTGCTGCTGTTGCATATGCTGCTGCTGCAGGTGCTGTTGCTGCGTCTGTTGCTGCAGCAGCTGCGGCTGCTGTTGCTGTTGCTGCAGCTGCTGCAGAAATAGGTCAACTGCCTCATTGGTGCCTTGGGACGTGGAGCCATCTAAGTATGGCCACATTTGCTGCTGTTGCTGCTGTTGCTGCTGCTGCTGCTGCTGCTGCAGCGAGTGTTCTATGTCCGAAGGTATCCTGAGGACCGTTTGATAGTGCTGCTGCTTATGCTGCTGCTGCTGCTGCTGCTGCAGGCGCAAGCGAAGCAGTTCCTGCTCCGCCTCATAGTCTGCTGCATAGTGCTCCTGAGCTAATTGATAGAGCTGTTGCTGCTGCTGCTGCTGCTGCAGTGCATTCTGCAGCAGGGCGGGATATCCTTCCGCGTTTAAACCCTGATTGCTGCTGCTGCTGCTGACTGCTGCAGCAGGCTGGAACAGCAAGCGGCGATGCGTGCTGCTGCTGTCACGTGCAGCAGCAGCAAGCTGCAGCGGTTGCTCGTGTATCTGATAGTACCCAGGCTGCAGCTGCAGCCGGTGCTGCTGCTGCTGCTGATGCTGCTGCTCTGGAGAGAAGAGATGAGTGGGAGTCATGTGCGTCTGAAGCAGCAGGCGGTTTTGTGTAGACCAGTCCTGCTGTTGTTGCTGCTGCAGCAGCTGCAGCTGTTGCTGCTGCAGCTGCTGCTGCTGCAGCTGTTGCTGCTGCAGCTGCTGTTCAGGTCGGAGAGACAGAGCCGAAGCAACTCGGGGACCACTTGTCAGCTGAAGCAAATGCTGCTGCTGCTGCGGCTGCTGCAGGAGGTTTGGAACGGCTTCGCCTACATGGTAGGAAGCCGAAAGAGGAGCTGCTGCTGCAGCAGCAGGAGCAGCAGCAGCAGCAGGAGCAGCAGCAGGAGGAGGTGCAGCAGCTGCTCCTGCTGCTGCAGGAGCAACAGCAGCAGCTGCTGCTGCAGCATCAGCAGCAGCAGAGACAACAGTTGTTTTAATAATCCGCGGCGGGTAGGGAAGTGCAGCAAGAGTAAAGAGAGGCTCTGCTGCATCTGCTGACCCTCCAAACAAACAAATCCTAAAAAACCGAGAGGTGCCCCTGCTCACAACAATAAACCCTAAACCCTAAACCCTAAACCCTAAACCCTAATCCCTAACCCCTAAACCCTAAACTCTAAGTAAGCCCTAAACCCTGGACTGAGAGCGGTAGACCCGAAGACTTCTCAAACCCTAGAACGCAACAACCCCTAAACCCTAAACCCTAAACCCTAAACCCTAAACCCTTGCTGTGCAAACCCTCATAGATTCTTACGCAATGATGTTGGCTTCTACAAGAGCGACAAACTGCGCCTCCAGCAGCAGCGGCGTGTACGTACACCGCAGCAAGGCGAGGCAAGCCGCAAGAGAGGCAGGTAGGGCCTGGGCCTTCGCCGCTGAACCGCAAACCACAAACCCTAAACCCTAAACCCTAAACCCTAAACCCTCGAACCCTAAACAAAAGGGAGTAACTACCGAGAGTTAAAAATGTGGGTATCGTTGTCTTAAGGCTAAGCAGCAGAGAGATTAGGGTTTGTATTTAGGGAGTGTTGTGGGCCGCTAGGGTTTAGGGTTTAGGGTTTACGGTCAACTGCTTTAGAGTTGCACATAGCCGCCTTGAATGCAGCGTAGCTGCTTTCTGTCCAGACAGGCACCCGTCTCCTGCTGCTCCCCTGCTGCTGCTGCTGCTGCTGCTGCTGCTGCTCGTACACGGCAAGGGAATCATCAGCAAAGTAAGCAAAGATCAGGCGAAGCCGCAGCTTTGCTGCTGCTGCTGCTGGGGTTTGACAATCAAGCAGCGCCACAAGGCGAGTAAACAGCAGCAAATCAACGCGACCGCTGCCTCCTGCAGCAACACGGCCCAAGCGCTCCAGACAGCACTTGCTGTTGTTGTTGTTGCTGCTGCTGCTGCTGTTGCTGCTGCTGCTGTTGCTGCTGCTTCTGCTGTTGCTGCAGCAGCAGTACGGCGCGTCAGCCATTGCTGCATAGGCCCCCCAGAACATCCCTAACTCCGCAGCGCTGATGGTAGCTGTTCTAGGTGCAGCAGCAGCAGCTGCTGCTGCTGCAATTGCTGCTGCGGTGGGCGTTGTTCCTGCTGCTGCAGCAGCAGCAGGAGGCCGCAGCAACTGGTCAACTGCATGCAGCCGGCTGAAGACTGCGGCTATGTAGTCGAGCTGCTGCACGGAATATGCTGCAGCACTCCACAGCTGCTGCAGCTGCTGCTCATCCCAAGCAACGGGACAGGGATTTGAAGCAGCAGCAGCTGCTGCTGTTGCTGTTGCTGCTGCTGCTGCTGTCGGCACAGGGACAGGCGCTGCAGCTGCTGCTGCTGCACCACGGGCCTGCTGCCACGGTAGCAACAGCGGCTGCTGCTGAGGCATCGCCGTCCCGCTGGTGCTGCTGCTGCTGCTGCTGATAACGTAAGGAGCAGCAGCAACAACAGCAGCAGGCTGCACTGGTGCTGCATCTTCTGCAGCAGGCAGCGGATGCGGCGGCACGGAGAGACTGGGCTGCTGTTGCTGCTGCTGCCAATACTGGTGCTGCAGCTGCCATTGTTGCTGCTGCCACTGATACTGCTGTTGCTGCTGCTGCTGCTGCTGCTGCTGCTGCCAATGATACTGCTGCTGCTGCTGCGGCACTTGATACTTAATTGGGGGAGCATGCAAACTGCTGCTGCGGCGGTGCTGCAGCACTTGTTGCTGCAGCTGCAGCTCCTCGTGCGGCAGGTGCTGCTCTGAAGAAGGCAGCAGCACTGAAGCGCTGCTGCGCCGAAGTGTCGCCCCACTTCTCATGGCTGCTGCTGCTGCTGCTCCTGCTGCTGCTGCTGCTGGTGAGCACGGATAAATGTGTGTATTGCTGCTGTTTGCAAGTTTAGCTGCGGGTGGCTGCAGTGGTCCTGCTGCAACAGCCTTCGATGCGACCACGACTGAGGCCAGCTGCTGGTCTGGACAGGGCTACAGACAGGAGCTGCTGCTGCTGCTGCTGCTGTTGCTGCTGCTGCTGCTGCACGCGCTGCTGCGGGGCTTCAATGCCTTATATAAGAAGGAAACAAATTAATGTGCTGGTCAAAATGTGAGTGCCGTTGCTGCAGCATCTATGTTGCTGCAGTTGCTGCTGCTGTAGCTCAAGGGAACAGCAGCAGCGTGCGGATCTGCTGCTGCTGCTGCTGCTGCTGCTGCTGCATCCAATGCGTCCAGCAGCTGCAACGCGGCGCAAGAAACAAAAATTCCATTCCATAGAAAACAAAGCCAAGTGCGAAATGTGCCAAGGAAGAAGGAAGCAGAAGCGGCGGAGATGAGCAGCAGCAGCAGCAGTAGCTGCTGCTGCTGTTGCTGCTGCTGCTGCTGCGGGCTGCAGCAGGCGGCCGCCGCGCGATCTGCAGCGGTTTCTCCGCGTTTTTCTCCAATTTTTTGTTGAAATCAAATTAATTAATAATTAAAATTAAATAATTAAATAAATTTTCAAAAAATTTGAATTTCTTTGCGGCAAATTTTTGCTGCAGGCGATCGTCGTGCAGCTCAGTCGGCGGCCGCTGGGCGGCTTTCACCAGCCAGGGTTTGTGAAGGGTATATTTCTTCGTTTGAATAAAAAGAAATATTAAATAATAAGCGTTTTTAATTATTTAAATTTAGTTTTTAATGAAAAATAAATGCAAGAAGGAAGAAAAGGTGAGATCCAGCGCCGCCTACTGAGGTGTATAGGCACCTCGTTTAGGCGTGGCTTCTCCCCTGGTCTACCCTCGTTTATTTCTGCATATTTTATCTCCGCTGTTCATAACAATTTGATTTAATTCTTTAAAAGAGATTATTGAAGACAGCTGCGGACCGAAGGAACACCCGCAGCAGCCACATCTATTTTCTCTCGCTGTCTCTCTCTGTCGCTCTCGTTGTCTGTCTCTCTCTCTCTCTGTCTCTCTCCGTCTGTCTCTCTCTGTCCCTCTCTCTAGTTTCTTTCTCGCTCCGTCGTCCACTTGCTCTACATATAAGCTATATATGCATACATACACCCATACATGCATACAGTCATACATACATACATACACACATACATACATACATATATACATACATGCATACATACATATATATATTATATATATAAATATATGCATATATATGTATTGATATGTATACATATATGCATATATATATATATATACATATTCATTGTTATGCCTATATAAACATATGTATATATATATAATATATATATATATGTATACATTTACACATGCATATACACCTATATATAAATGCATTTGTCTATGTATATCTATATGCAGTCCTATATATATATATATACGTGTATATATATATATATATTATATTCATATATATAAATAAAATAAAATAAAATGTGCATACCACACAACAAAAGACGAAAACTTTTCTTCATTGAGTTAATTTGCTGCACAATGACGCCTCAGCCACATGCAGCCAAATAAGCTAGCTACTGGCTAGCTAGCAGCCAGGTATTGGCTAGCTAGCAGCTAGCTATTGGCTAGCTAGCTATTTGCTAGCTAGCAGCCAGCTATTGATGCTCGTCTGCTGGAGGCCGGGGGCAGCGGTGCAGCGCACCGCGAGGTGTCTGTACACCTCAAACAAAAAATAAAAGCAAATTACATACAACAAGAAAGAAAGGCAACAGCTGCCACTGCCGTTGCAGCTGCAGCTGTGCCTGCAGCTGCTGCTGTTGCTACAGCTGCTGCTGTTGCTGCTGCTGTTGCTGCAGTTTGTGGTGCTGTCTACGTTCCGCTGCAGCTGCGAAAAGCGCAGCAGGTGTCACAACAGCAGCAGCAGCAGCAGCCCCCGCAGCAGCAGCAGCAGTCTGAGGAGGAGGGTCGGGAGGCTGCGGCGTCGCATTTGCTGCTGTACAATGATTAGGATGATGCTGCTGCTGCAGCTGCTGGCGCTGCTGCTGCTGTTGCTCTGCGAATAAACTCCGCAGCAGCTTTTATTGTGGCTTGCTGCTGCTGTGCATGCAGCCAATGGCCTGCGTTTTCAATGGTGTGCAGCGCTGCATTCGGGAAGTGGCGGTGTATAGACAGCTGCTGCAGCCTGAAGTTTAGCCAAGGAGAGTTTTCTCCCCGCACAAATAAAATAGGGTGTCTGTACACCTCACGTGCTGCTGCTGCTGCACTCAGCAAAGGGTTATGCACAGACAAAGGAGCTGCTGCCAGCCCCAGCGATCGGTTTAAAACAACGAGCGCATGCAGCGCCTCCAAGTCTAAATGCCAGCATAAACGCTCACCCTGATCCTGCTGCTGCTGCTTCTGCTGCTGCAGCGGCTCCTGCTGCTGCTGCTGCTGCTGATCCTGCTGCTGCTGCTGCTGCTGTTGCTGCTGCTGCTGCAGGAGCAGCAGCTCTGAAGGGAGGTAGACTCCCTGCTTGTGTCTTTCTGCTGCTGATATTTGCGGTTGCTGCCTGAGGAGGTGCAGCAGTTCTTTTTCTCTTGCGTTGTTGCTGCAGAGAGACAGCAGCAGCCAGTTAATAACAGCAGGCGGCATCGGCGGCTGTAGCTGCTGCAGCGCGCGGCCCACAGAAGAGCTGCATTCAAACAGAGCCACGGGTAAGTCGTGCAGCAATTCAATTAAAGCAGCAGAAGAATAACTACCCTCCCGAGGAGGCGGCACGCGGCGACCCACGTCTAGGCAGCATGCAATCTTGCTGCTGCTGCTGCTGCTGCTGCTGCTGCTGTTGCTGTTGCTGCTGCTGCTGTTGCCGCTGCTGTTGCTGCTGCTGCTGTTGCTGCTAGGTAAGAAGATGGTTGTGGCTTCCTTTGAAGGTGCGTCTGCTGCTAGTTTGTCTGGGTGAGCTAAGTAGGGGGAGCAAGAAATATCGAGAATAACAGCAGCAGCAAACAGCGGCAGCGAAGCGCTGTCTAGTGCTGCTTGCATGCACACCAAAGCCCCAAAACTGTGGCCTACTAAAACCACACGAACCCGCAGCAACTGCTGCAGCAGCAGCACGCGGCGCATGCCTTCCCAGTGAGGCAGCACGCTCCCGCCCTCGTTCTCGCTGCCGCTGCTGCTGCTGCTGCTGCTGCTGCTGCTGCTGCTGCTGCTGCTGCTGCTGGGTATAGGTATATTTCTTTGTTTTGCAGTCTCCTTAAGAAGTTGAAAAATTTGTGCGAACAAATCGCGCGCCATCAAATGAACAGCCAAAGGCCCGCGAGCGCTGCAGCCGTGGCCCCTTAAATCGAAGCAAAAGGCCCTGCTGCTGCTGCTGCTGCTGCTGCTGCTGCTGCTGCTGTTGCTGCTGCTGCTGCTGCTGGTCGGGGGAGAGGGTTCTGCATGCACTTCTTTCACCAGCCCAGCGATGAAACTACGCAGGTTGCGGCGACCCCCCAATATGCCGTGCAGCGCCAAATACCATGTCTCATATTCGCTGCTGCTGCTGCTGCTGCTGCTGCTGCTGCTGTTGCGGCTGCTGCTGCTGAGAGGCACCTCGGTGGCAGCTAGAGGGAGGGCCTCTGGAAACAGATTTTGCGTCTCCTCGTCGAGCAAACGCAAATGGCAATACTCCGATGCTACACTGCTGCTGCTGCTGCTGCTGCTGCTGCTGCTGCTGCTGCTGCTTGTGGAGAGTGCCCGATGAGAGATGGCGTGGGCGGTGCTGCTGCTCCTGCAGCTGCTGCACTCCCAACATCGCTGCTGCTGCTGCTGCTGTTGCTGCTGCCGACGGGTCGCTAGCGGGACTGCACCGTGGGGGAGGGAGACGAATTTCTGTGCTGTAGGCAGCAGAAGCAAATGGCGCTGCAGCGGCTTGTGCTGCAGCAGCTGCTGCTGGAACGCATGCCGCGCAAGGAACGCCATCCCCGGCCTGCTAGAGAGCAGCAGCAGCAGCAGCAGCAGCAACAGAGGGAGTAGCAGCTGCTGCTGTTGCAGCCTTCTCATCAGGAGGCCCTTCTGCAGCAGCAGAACGTCACGTTCCCCAGCCTGTTGCTGCTGCTGCTGCCGTTGCTGCTGCTGTCGGTGTCTTTGCTGTTGCTGTCCCTGCTGCTGCTGCTGTCTTTGCTGCTGCTGTCCCTGCTGCTGCTGCCGTCTTTGCTGCTGCTGTCCCTGATAGTGCTACTGCAGGCACTGCTGCTACATTTGCTGCAGTTGTTGCTAATGGTGGCTAAGACGGCAAATGCTGCGCAAGTTGCTGCTGCCGCTGTAGTTATTGCTGTTGTTGCAGTTGCTGTTGCTGCTGCTGCTGTTGTAGAAGACCCGCAGCAGAAGAGACAGCACAAAGGCCCTAACAGTAGCCCTTTCCTTCAGTATATATTTACAATATAATAACAATTAATATATGCACTACGATATTTATTTATTTACCTATTTATTTATGTTGTATATTTGCTGTCTGCACCGAGCGCAACAGCTGGCGCAGCGGCGGCCCCCCAGGCGTCCTCCGCTTGTTTTGCTGCTGTTGTTAGGTTGTTATAGTGAAATTTATTGAAAATATTTAAATTAAATGCAAAGGAAATTCATTTCAATGCTCTTGGCGGCTGAGGCGTATGTACACCTCAGCGCCGACGAGGCATATCGCTGCTGCATGCAGACAGCTGAGTGGGGCGAGGGTTTGTTTGTTTTTACTCTATAATTATTTTAAATTACTATATGTTTTATTTTAATTAATTATTTAATTCTTCTGGTGAAGTAGAAGTCTGCAGATTGCAGAAGAAGTACCGCCGACTCCGCCTACTTCCCTCCTCCAGTGTACAGACACACCAAAAAATAAACAAATAAATAAATAAATGCGCTCGTTCACTGCATATCCATGTCTTTGTCTGTATTTTCACTTATTACTTCCAAAACAAATCCTTTACACTCGTTAATGCAGTCCCTCTACGCAGCAGCTGCTGCAGCAGCAGCTCCTGCTGCTGCAGCAGCAACCAGCGTACTCCTGCTGCTACAGTAGCAGCATACAAAAGGAGCGCGGGGCTCCAATAGAACGCTAGCTAGCTGCAGCTAGCTTCACGCAGCTAGCCGGTGGGCACCTACAGCTAGCTGCAGCTAGCTACAGCTAGCCACACCACTGCTCCCCAGGGCTGCTGCAGCCCCTGTGAAGGCGTTCAATACCCTTCAGCGTTTTGCTTGTGTTTGTGCTGCTGTTGTTTGTCTGTCTTTTCTTTCCTTCCATCTAAACCCTAAACCCTAAACCCTAAACCCTAAACCCTAAAGACGCACTTTATGCAGACCGTCCTGCTGCTGCTGCTGCTCCCCACAACCAACCCCTAAGCCCTAAACCCTAAGTTAGCCGAGCTGCTGCACGTCAGAGCAAGTAAACCCTAAACCCTAAACCCTAAACCCTAAACCCTAGACTTGAGGGAGCAGCAGATAGTAGTAAACCCCTCACAAGTGCTTTTGGGGTTTAGAAAATGTCGGGGCAGCAGCCCCATTCCCCCACCTCCCGCGCCTCCCAGTAACCTCCCTACAAACAAACACAAACCCTAAACCCTAAACCCTAAACCCTAAACCCTAGAAGAAGCACCCTCCAGCCTGTTGATGCGTTGTAGGATTTGGGGTTTGTAAATTGGTTTAGGGTTTCGGGTTTACGGGCTGCGGCTGTGGCCCAGGGCTAAGATTCTCTAGGGTTTAGGGTTTACGAGGGTTTAGGGTTTACCTTGTACACCCAATCATCAGAATTCTGCTGCCGCTCAAACCAACAGGGTTTATAGTCTCGCTCTCCACGAGGCCGCGCCCGCGCTGCCTCCCTGCAGTCAGCAAACCCTAAACCCTAAACCCTAAACCCTAAACCCTAACACTAAATGTTGGCCCTGCGCTCCACCTGTGGGGATCGTTTACTTCGGATGTATTAACGAATGCAGCAGCGCCTAGGTCTATCTGTCCTTTTAGGGTTTATTATGGCTAATTAGGGTTTAATGTTTAATAGGATTTACTAGGGTTTAGGGTTTAGGGTTTAGAGGGACCTCTGTTTCTCTTCTAATCTGTTCTTTTGTTCTACTGCTTCTTCCACCCTCCCCGATTCATACAGCCTTTGATCGGGCCGTCTGCGAGAGTCGGTTGGGGCTGCATGCGCTGCGTATTCGGGCGACAGGTTGTTCAACTCCATCGTCAGGTAGCTGAAGAGCGCAAACCCTAAACCCTAGCAAACCCTCATAAACCCTAATAAACCCTAATAAACCCTAATAAACCCTAATAAATCCTAATAAAGCCTAGCAAACCCTCGTAAAGCCTAGTGTGCCCTCACAAACCCTAACAGACCCTAGCAAACCCTAGTAGAACCTCGTACACCCTAGGAAAACCTCGTAAACCCTAATAAACCCTCACAAACCCTGATAAACCCTCAGACCCTAAACCCTAAATCCTAAGAAACCCTAATAAACCCCTGGAAACCCTATATAACCCTAATAAACCCTTGTACACCTTTGTAAACACAGCAACACCCTAATAAACCCTCCTCATAAACAAACCCTGAATTAAAAAACAATCTGTGGAGAAGCGCTGCGCATGCATCAGAGCCTCAGGCGCTCACAGCTATGGTTTAGGTTTTAGGGTTTAGGGTTTAGGGTTTGAGCTGACCCGAAGCCGTAGAACTGGTCGGCGTTGGGAGGCCGCGCCGTCGGCCTCCAAATGAGGCGCCTCGAAGACTCAACCCAAGCGATGGACTCCCAGTACTCTGCGCGCAAACCCTAAACCCTAAACCCTAAACCCTAAACCCTAGACTCTAAACTCTAGGCGTCGAACTGTACTAGCCTCTAACTCCAAGTCCTAGCCTTGAATTTCCGTTTCTGGGTGGACGGGCAGATACGCTTAGGGTTTAGGGTTTAGGGTTTGGGGCGTCGAGGGTTCGGAAGGTGCCATTCAAACCCTAAACCCTAAGTCGTAAACCCTAAACCCTAAACTAAATGCTTACGTGCAACCACCGCATCAAGCTGATTGTCAGGGCTATCTGCTGGGGGCCCCGTTTCGCTTCTTCGGTACTCCTCTACCTGCATGCGCGCGTAAACCCTAAACCCTAAAAACTCTACAGAAGCCCTAAACCCTAAACCCTAAACCCTTGGGGCAAACCCTAAACCCTAAACCCTACCTGCGGCGGAACCTTCCATTTCTTGTGCGGGGGGAATGCGGGCGCCTCCTCGACGTACAAAGCGCTAGACCACTGCCCTGCCGCACAAACCCTAAACCCTAAACCCTAAACCCTAAACCGTAGACTATGAAGCATGCAGCGCCCAACTCAACCCCCAAATCAGCCCCCCCCCCACACCGTACACCCAATGGGCTGCACGCCCTGTAGACACGCGAAGCAGCTGGGCCTTAGGGTTTAGGGTTTAGGGTTTAGGGATACCGGAGAGGCGGTAGACGGGCCGCCCAGAGGCTTCAAAGACAATGGCTCGGAGATGGTGGCAGGTCTTGTCTAGCCTGAGGCCAAACCCCAAACCCTAAACCCTAAACCCTAAATTTTAGAGAGAAAGTCTGATGAGCGCCCTCAAACGCCAAAGAGAGCCAACAACTGTATAAGTCGCTGAAACAAGGGTTTAGGGTTTAGGGTTTAGGGTTTAGGGTTTGCTTGCCATCCTTTTCTAAGGAACTGCACCACAGAGAAGTCCCCCGAAGTTTCATTTTCAACGAGACTCGTTCCGTCACTGCAGCGCAGACACTCCAAATCCTAAACCCTAAACCCTAAACCCTAAATCCTTGGCGCAAACCCTAAATATTGAACACAGGAAAGCCGTAAACCCTAAGGCCTGAGAAGTCCCAAACCGGAAACTCTGAAAGCCCTAAACCCTAAACCCTGAAAACCCTAGCCCATAAACCCTAAACCCTAAAACCCCTAAACCCTAAACCCTAAACCCTAAACCCTAAACCGTACACTTCAATCCACAGCTTGCCCCAAATAACGTTATGAATCAGCATTTTTGTTCTCTTGTAAGAAAACCGCTCTCCCGTGCGGTGCAGCTTCACCCGGGCTATGCCTGGCATAGTCACCTGCAGACCCAAACCCCAAACCCTAAACCCTAAACCTTAAACCCTAAACCCTTCAAGCTAAACGTCATGAAGCCTTGGCCAAGTTGGGCTTTAGGGTTTAGGGTTTAGGAACCGAGTCGCTGATAATGCAGGCTGCTCAAAACCAGTCCGCCCCTCTTTGCAAGTTCCATCAGCAAGGCTAGGGTTTAGGGTTTAGGGTTTAGGGTTTGGAGTACCTCAAGAGACTTCCCCGAGAAGCGATTTCGCACTGTCACCCAACCCTCACATGAAAACTCCGAGGCCGTCGCCACGTACGCAGTGATGGGGGGGTGATGGCCCACCTGAACAGACTCAACTGCTGCTGCTGCTGCTGCTTTTGCTGCTGCTGTTGCTGCTTTTGCTGCTGCTACTCGTGCTGCTGCTGCGACTGCTGCTGGTAGTGTTCCTGCCGCTAATGCTACTCTTGCTCCTGCTGCTGTTGCGTCGACTGCTGCTCTTGCTGCTACTGCTATTACTACTGCTGCTTCTGCTACTGCTGCTGCTAATCCTTCTATAACTACTAGAACTGCTGCTGCTGCTGCTGCTATTGGTGCTGCTACTGCTGCTTAAGGTACGGCTTCTTCTGTGGAGGCTGCATCCGCTGTCGCTGCTACCACTGCCGCTGCTGCAGCACCTGCTGCAGCAGAGCAAGCAGCAGCAGCAGCAACCGCAAGAGCGGCAGCTGCAGCAACCGCAGCAAGAGCAGCCGCAGCAGCAGCAGCAGCAGCGGCGGCGGCGAACGCGTGAGGGTTTACCTGCTCCGACAGAAAGCGAAAACCCCTTTGTATCAGCTCAAAGGTTTCTCCTAAGAGTGGATTGAAGGGTTTGTACGTCCTGTGTAAACCCACAAACCCTAAATCCTAAACCCTAAACCCCATATCCTTAACTCAATGCCCCAGACTCAAGACCCTAAACCCTAGAACGCCCTAATGAAGCTTGCTGTTGTCTCCTCTTCTATCGTCTTGCTTTACAAGCTTGAGGGTTTAGGGTTTAAGGTTTAGGGTTTAGGGTTACCTCCCAACTGCAGAGGCGTAGGGAGACAGCGCGTAGACAGTCAGCCCCAAAAGCCGATCGACACTCCGCGGGAACCGGGAGGACTGAGACATACAAAGCCAAAACCCTAAACCCTAAACCCTAAACCCTAAACCCTAACGCGAAAGCAACCCCAAAGAGTATGTCCTAAACCCTAAACCCTAGGTCCCATCCCTGAAGGGCTTTAGGGTATCTCTTCTGCATGGGCCTTCTACCTTCACCTCACACACCAAACCCTAAACCCTAAACCCTAAACCCTAATTCCCACCAGGTTAAGTAGCTCGCAGTACTGCAGGTCCTCGCACTGTCTCTGCAAGAAACTCGTAGGCTCATTGAAGTAAACTGGCATTGCTATTCGGCTTAAGTCCCGACCGATGCAGTCCTTAAGCACCGACCACAAGTTCACCTGCGCACAAACCCTAAACCCTAAACCCTAAACCCTAAACCCTAAACCCTAGAGCATTAGCCCCAAACGCTAAACCCTACGACTCAGAGAGCTCCAATGCGCACAAAAACCAGGCGGCGCAGCCTTTACTGAGCCATACGCACTGCGCCCCAAACCCTAAACCCTAATCCATAAACCCTAAACCCTAAACCCTAAGAGTGACGGCAGCAGCAGCACGGGCTTAGGGTTTGGGTGTACTTTAAACTCCGTTCGGGGCTTCGGCAGCGCCAGCCGCTGCCCTGCAGTCGCCCCCCCAATATGAGGAGAAGCAGCAGCGATAGTTGCTGCTGCGTTTGCTGCAGGCGAGAACGTCGGCCCAACGAAGTTGCTGCTGCTGCTGGAGCTGCTGCTGCTGCTTTGGCTGCTGCTTGTCGCTATGGGTAATGCCCCCGAGGCGCCTTCGCGACACTCCTGCTGCTGCTGCTGCTGCTGCTGCTGCTGCGAAGCGGCAAGACCTTCGGACTCTCCTGTACCGTCTTCGGTGGCCTGCAGCCAGCAACAGCAGCAGCAACACCAACCCTAAACCCTAAACCCTTAACCCTAAACCCTAAATCCTAAATCCTAAACCCTAAACCCTAGCGCACCGCATCATCGCAGTCGAAGAATTCGAGTTCCTCATTGGCCTCTTCATCGCTGTCGCTGGTGCTGAAGCTGACTCCTTCTTGTGCAGCAGCAGCAGCAGCTGCTGCTGCTGCTGCTGCAGTTGCTGCCTCGTCTCCCTCAGCCTCTGGGAGCCGCACCCCAGTAATTGCCGCAGCGACTTCTGCTGCTGTCAGTTTGCCGCGCTGTCTACTGAGCTGCAGCAGCCGCTCTTGAGCCTGCACCAGCATCCACAAGCCTGGGCTCCGAACCCTAAACCCTAAACCCTAAACCCTAAACCGTCGGCCTAAGCGCAAGATCCTCAAGCGTTCCCTGCGCTACTTCGACTGTAAACTCTAAACCCTAAACCCTAAAGGAAACATTCAGGCTTTAGCTGGGGTTTCCCAACAAAGGCTTCATATTTAGGGTTTAGGGTTTAGAGTTTAGGGTTTAGGGTTTGTACCTTGTCAAGCTTGTAGTTCCTCTTCGCCAGAGAGCGCACAGACTTCTCCAGCTGCCGTCGCTGGGTGTACTCTTCACTCAGGAGCCGCTCCCACTGCTGCAGCAGCTGCTGCAGCAGCTGCTGCAGGTCGTCTACCCGCTGCAGCAGCAGCACAACCTGAGAACGCAGGTTCCCCCCCTCGCCAGGGTCTGCAGGCAACAGAAAACCCTAAACCCTAAACCCTAAACCCTAATATGCATCCCCCCGAGCTCCCAACAAGAAGTACCGGCCTGTCCCTTCGTCGCCCGAGACGGCAGCAGCAGCAGCAGCAACGGCTGCTGCTCTTGCAGCAACAGCAGCAGCAACAGCAGCAGCAACAGCAGCAGCAACAGCAGCAGCAACGGCAGCAGCAGCAGCAGCAGCAGCAACAGCAGCGTCATTTACTTGTTTGAGCGATTTGCGCGACAGACTTCAAAACGTCTGACTGCAGGGCCAGCATCTTGGAGCACGCTTCCTGCGGCCGCACAGCCAAAACCTAAACCCTAAACCCTAAACCCTAAACCCTAAATCCGAAACATTTTAGCCCCGCGTATAACCCCCCCTGGAATAAAAGCTGGCGAAAGGCCTTTAAGAAGCAGCAGCAAACGCCCGCCGGCCGTGACCGTGACCGGGGTTTAGGGTTTAGGGTTTAGGGTTTAGGGTTTGGAGGTGCCTGTATATTCTGCCTTGCGTCAATGATGCTCTCCAGCAGCAGCACCAATGGCCCCTCAGCCCCCGTACTATCGAGCAGCGCCTCGCTGCTACCGTCTGTTTGCAGCAGGTGCGCGCCTAGAAGGGGGCTGCTGCTGCTGTTGCTGCTGCTGCTGCTGCTGAGAGCTGCCCCTTCCAGTGAAGCCCCAGGAAACGCAGTAGCAGCAACCACATCGGCTGCTGCTTCTGCTGCCGTTCCTCCATCGCTCCTGCTGCGGACAGCCCCCGAATCCTGCTGCGGCTGCTGCTGCTGTTGTTGTTGTTGCTGCTGCTGCCCCTGTTGCTGCTGCTGCTCCTGCTGCTGCTCCTGCTGCTGCTGAGGCTGAGGCGGAGGTGCTGGTGGTGCTGACGGTGGTGGGGGTGGCGGCGGCTGCACTGCAGCAGCAGAAAGCGAACGAAGGCGGCTGGTGGCATACGCTGCAGCAGCAGCAGCACTCGAAGCAACAACCCCTGCCAGTCCGCTCAAGGCGCTGCTGCTGCTGCTGCTGCTGCCCGGTCCTGGAGGTGAAGCCCCTGCCCCGCCTGCAGCTGTCGTTGGCGCTGCTGCTGCTGCTGCTGCTCGCATGTCTCCTGCTGCACTGGAATGATCATGCCGTGGGCGCGGCTGCTGCCCCTCAGGCCTCTTGCTGCTGCTGCTGCTGCTGCCAGCTGTAGGTGCAGGTGGACCCCCCGCAGGCGTTGCCCCGACGGGTTTCCTCCGCTGCTGCTGCTGCCTGTCTCCTTGAGCTCCTGCTGCTGCTGCTGAAGAGCGAGCCGCCCTATGAGCGCCGCTCAGCGCGGCACGTTGACCCTGCTTGAAGGCTGCGTACCTGCGGGCAAAACCCTGAACACTAAACCCTAAACCCTAAACCCTAAACCCTAAACCCTAAACCCTAACCCCTAGTCCTACACCCTCAATCTCGCAGCACACACCACATCTGCTTCTCTTCCTGACTCTCCGCCCGCAGGTAAAGCGTCTGCTGATCTATCACGTCCACCTCGAAGCGCACGGGGTCGTCTGAAGCACAAGCCCTAAACCCTAAACCCTAAACCCTAAACCCTAAACCCTAGGCCCTAGCACTACGATACGTGCAGATCGTTTATAGAAACGCAGTGAGAGAGCTGCTGAACGAGCTGAGGAAAAGAAGAGGCAGCAACAGGATGTGTGTACCGCAGGACTCTACGGCGCAGGGTTTAGGGTTTAGGGTTTAGGGTTTGGGCTGACGGGGGCAGAGGCGAACTCGACACTGATTCAAAAGAAACATTTCTTTTGGTGGGGACGTCTTCGTGGTGCTATATTTAAAAAAACCCGCGTAGACAAAGAAGTACCTGCGGCGACAAACCCTAAACCCTAAACCCTAAACCCTATCCACCCAGGCCCCAAACCCTAAACCCCAAACACGGAACCCGGAACGTTAAATCCTAAACCCTAAACCTGAATACCCAAGCCCTGAAGAAGCAGAATAGAGACATCTAACTCCAAGGGTATAGGGTTTAGGGTTTAGGGTTTAGGGCTTACCGCGGCCTCCACGAAGACAAGAGGTTTGTCCACTTCTGCAGCCAGCCCTGCAGCACGAGCGAGCTTGCTGCTGCTGCTTTGCTGCTGCTGGGCACAGGGGCAACGAGGGAAAGGCTTGCACGCTGCGGAGCTCCATGCCGCTGCTGCCGCTGGTGCTGCTGCTGCTGGCGGCGCCTATCCGTTGGTGAGCGAACAAAAGCAGAGTTCAGCTGAGAGTGTGCAGCCTGTTTGCTAGCTGCTGCTGCTGGTGCTGCTGCTGCTGCTGTGGATGGGTCGCTGGGGCTGCTACCCCTAACAACGCCAGAAGAGACAGCACCATGCGGTGCCTGCTGTTCGTGCTGCTGCTGCTGCTGCCGGGGCGGCGGCCTGTGAAGCTGCTGCTGCAAGGTAGCCGCACTCGGCGGAGAAGGTTGGGGCCTCCATAGAGTGTCCTGTACGCAAACCATAACTTGCCTTGCTTTTGCTGCTGCTGCTGCTGCTGCTGCTATGTGCTTGCTGCTGCTGGTGCTGATGATTTGTGCTTGCTGCTGCTGATGCTGTTGCCGTTGCTGCTGCTTCTGCTGCTGACTTACCGAGTTTTGTGAAGGCGGGGATATGTTTCTTGGCGCTGCAGCAACAGAAGCAGCACCTCCTGCTTCTGCTACTGCTTGTGCTGCACCTTCTGCTGCAGCTTCTGCTGCAGCTTCTGCTGCTGGGGGCAGCCGCCGTTCTTCAGCACGTCGGCCAGAGCCACCGGGGACCGCTAATGCTGCTGCTGCTGCTTGTGCTGCGTTTGATGCTGCAGTTCCTGCTGCCGTTGTTTCAGGTTCGGGGAAATGTGCTGTGCTTCCAGCAGCTGCTAGTTCGCGCGGTGCACCTGCTGCTGCTGCTACTGCTGCTGCTGCTGCCTCGTCCCGTTTCGCCCCTGCAGGCGGCGGCGCTGCTACAGACGTGGCTTGTTGAGCTACTGCAGTTTGCTTGTGCTGCTGCTCCGCAGCAGTAACGTGCTGCTGCTGCTGCTGCCTGCCTCCATGCTGCTGATTCGGCTGTTTCTGCTGCCCTTCGACTTCTTCCCCAGGAGTACGCCGCAGCACACGGTCCTCTCCCGCAGCACATTGCTGCTGCTGTTCGTGCTGCTGCTGTTTCGTCGGTTGCGCCGTCTGCCTTTCCTGCTGCTGCGGCTGCTCCAGAGGCGTCCTGTGCTGGTGCTGATGGAGTGGCTCTCGCTGCTGGTGCTGCTGCGGCTCGTGCTGCTGCCGCTGTAGGTGCTGCCGCCCCACTGGCGTGGGAGCATCAGAATAAGGTTCAGCCTGCTGCGCTGTACGCGTGACTAAGTGCTGCTGCAGCGGCTGTTGCTGTTGCTGTCGCTGCTGCTGCTGCTGCTGCTGCGGCTGCTGCGGCTCCTGCGGCTCCCGCTGGCCTTGCAGGTCCTTGTCAGCAGCCTCCATTGTCTTGGTGAGCTGCCTTCTCCTTCAGCAGCAAGAAGTACGTACGGGTTCAACAGCAGACTGCAGCAGCTGTTGCCGCTGCTGCTGCTGCTGCTGCGACCGGTGAAGTCGCTAAGAACATCCGCGGCCTTCTTCACGGGATGGAACGGAGCGCTGAAGGCGCTGCTGCTGCGTCTCGTACTGCTATTGATGGTGGTTTTGCTGTTACATGTATCTTGTGCTGCTGCGCCACTGCTTAGCTGCGCGGTCGTGCATGCAGCTGCCTGCTACTGGCTTCGCTGGAGTTGCTGCTGCTACCGCCCCCGGAGCAGCAGCAGCTGCTGCTGCAGCAGCTGTTGCTGTTACAGACTACGGAGCAATGGCAGGTGCACGGACAGCTCGCGTTGCTGCACAATGAACGCAGCCTGTGTGTTGCTGTTTGTTGCTGCTGCCTGCAATTGAGTGGAATCTCTAGGCCAACCGCTGCAACTCCCGTTGCATGTGGTGCTGCATGCTCTCCGCAATATCTGGAATTTACAAAAAATGCAGTGTATATACACCCCAATGCAGTCGCTGCTGCAGCGGTGTGCCTGTACAGCTGAGCAGCGCCGACGTGCATGCAGGCCCAGCTTGCTGATTTTGTTTGTGTCTGCAGCAGAAGATCCTACGAATTGTTTAGTTATTATTTTCATTGTTTTCATTCTTTTAGTGATTGGCCGCGCTAGCGAAGGGGAGCGACTCCTCGCTATTTCTGTGTGAGGTCGGTCCTGCCCCTTTGGAAGGCTCTCGCTGGCTCGTCTATGAGTTGCTATTAGTTGTTTGTTTATTCTTTTGAAGCAGTACAGCTCGACGCAATAATGCAATTGGTTTAAATGGATATTGTACCTTCCTCCGTGCCTAATTAGAAGGCGAAAGGTGGGGGCAGGAAGGCCTCGTTGTGTGCAGCACATTCTCTATGGAGCTGAAACATGACTTTCTGCATGCATGCAGGATGCGTATTGAGTGCCAAAATAAGTGTTTAGAAATTATCATCAGTGTTCGTGCTTGCAGAAATGGGGCCTTGCTTATGCTTGCATGCGGGGTTGCCTTGCAGCACGAGTTGCGCTGCAACTCAAAACCTCCTCCTCCTCTCTTCACCAGTACCAGGCCCTGGAGCCGCCGACGTCTGGGGAATGGAAGGTAATTTATCTGCTTATGGGAAGGTCTTGCCTTACATGTTTGACCCCATGGCTGCACGTGTCGTCCCTCAGGTGAGATAGACGGCCTTTGCTACAGTTATTAGCAACGCATGGTTCGTCGGGCAGATGCAAGCAGGAAACCCCACCCCCACAACAGAGCGGCCAACTGCATAGCAGTAATTGGTAGTGAAGGTGCTTCGCAAAAAGAATAAGCCGAACCTTCTGATTTTCTTCCTAACTTTCTCGTTTCAAACTCAGCCTCCTCACCACCCGAAACGCAGAATAATCGGGACTTCCCTTCTGCTGTGCGCCGCATGGGAATGTGTCGCTGCGAAAACAATTTATGCCTTCTGATCTGCTGACAGTCCAAATGTGACAGGAGACCCGATAGGGGGGGCAGTGAAAAGACTCCTGCTTCTCCGGCGTTGTAGTTTTGTCTTTAAAATGCACCCCAGGAACTGCAATTGCTACAGGTACCTTTTTCACTAGGAAGTACAACTCGAAAATGGTGGGTATATCTGGGCAAGGGTACCAACTCTCCGGGGAAACTCCAGAACGTGGGAGGTTTCCGGCATGCTCTAGGGTTTAGGACCATTTCCGGGTCGGCAAGGCAACAGCCTGTGGTAGAGCTGAAGCAATACAGACAAGGGAAGCCATCTATAGAGCGCTAAGTGGGGAACTGTCAGCAAAGCGGAAGTCCAGCATTGAACTCCGAGTTTTCGTTTCGATAGTAGTGGTACACAGCAGCGCTCTTCCCCGGAGAGAGTCAATCAGTTACCAGCTGAGATGGGGGCAGGGAACCAAAAAGCCCTGCCCGCTTCGCAGAATGGGTGGAGCACTCTGGGATGATATAGATAAAGGGACACCCAAGGAGGAAGTCGTCATTTCCATCTCGCTAGCTAAGAAGGCAGAAGACGGGTTCATGAATGTCCCAGAAGTAAAACCTGTGGATACTGGGGATGTGAACGCCAGAGCTAATCAAGAAGGGATGGGGCGAGAATTCACTGCACCCGGAGATTCTGGCATTCAGACGGCAAAGCGGTTATGCGAAGTGGCGCATATGCTCCTTTTCAATGTACATGGCTAAATATTTCGAGTTTGCAAGAGCATAGAAGGGGCTAAGAAGCTGGTGCAGCGCCGCCAGAGGAACCCACTCACAGATTAGGAAAGCATCCTGGCCGTTAAGCAACATGCGGAGCAGTGATGGGGGCAGGATAGTTGGCAACTGCAGATGAAGACCCTCCTTTGGTCAGTTATCCAGAGTAGTTGGCAACTGCACATACAGACATTCCTCGAGTCGTGTCTATAGTTCTCCAAATTTGCCTCAGTCACGGGCCGCTAGCACTACTTGACAGGGGCTGCCACGTGGATGGATCTGAGATCTACAGCTACGGCACATAGCTGTAACCCGCGTGTCTACTCATTGGCGCAGTAGTCTCTGCTACCACGCTCAGCCGATGACACAGTACAGGAATACCTGGTAAAAGTACCGTATCATGGTAACACGGCCCTTTTCAATCAACTTTGAAAAGGGTCGTGTTACCATGATACGGTACTTTTTCGGTGAATCAGTTCTCCACAGCATAGTCCTGTCATGTTGTAGGGGAGTCAGTTTGGGGGGCGCAGATGTGTCCACAAGACACTCAGGTTTGTCTGTCGGGGAAAAAATGAGAGGGTGGACCTCTTGCCGCCTCCACAGCATTTGCGTCCTGTGCAGAAGAGGAGAGGAATCATTGTTTCAAGGAGAAAGGAGGGAGGAGCTTGCAACGCAGTACGAAGACGCTGCAGATGCAGGACGAAGACGCTGCAGGTAACGATGAATAACTGCATGCAGCCCGTCTTGATCACGCAAAGGAGGCAGGAATGGGAAACATCGATCCAACTAACACCCTGTAGGCCCAATGCATCCGCACTGAACTCGCTCTTGGAGCAGTTCCACGCTTTCTCTTCAGGGATTTTTGAGGTGCAGGCGAGCCCCATTTTGAAAATGAAGCCGAGTGGCGAGCGGAGGAAGTGCGAAGATAGGCAAAGTTCAAACAACCATCAGCCAGATCTATTTGACACAATCTGGTGCAAGGGGGGAAAAGCGAGGGATGCGGAACATGAGTTTCGAGTGCAAACCCCTCAGCACCAATACTGTTAAACAGAATTTTCCTTTCCAGGCAGGGGTTTAACAATTGCTACAGTGTTAGTGCATGCAGAAAAGGGGCCTCGGTTTTGTTGCATGCAGGGATGCCTTGCAGCTCTAGTTGAGTTGCAACACTAAACAGCCTGCCTACTCTCCTTAACGGTCCCTTGCCCTGGGCCCGCTGTGCCCAAGACGCCTGTGCATTGGAGGGAAGATCAGCTGCTCACCTGCTTCTGGCGAACTACTGTCCGAACTGTCTGACTCTATAGCAGGTTTGCGGCGGTCATCAGGTGAGATCGGGAACCTACTCTACCCGTACTTATTCTCCAGGTGCACGAAATGAGCCAGCTGATTGATTGCGCTTCTGACACTTACAACATTATTAACCGCAATTTAAAACTTGTCTCGTCCTCCCCTTCTTCTTTTGCAAACACAAAAAAGCCGAGCTGAACGGCCAGGCTCTATTTGAAAATAGAAAGTTTTAGGTGTTAGGCGACGACGCTGTGACGACCGTGGTACGCCCCCAAGCGCATTCTATTGAACTGCCGCTGTTACGGCCAGTTTAAGCAAGGAAACCGCGCGAAAATATGATAAATCATACCTGGTACCGATTAGCAGCTAAAAAGAACCCAAATGGATGCAGAAGCCAATGATTTGAATAGGTACAGCCGTTGGTGCACAGTAGCGGCGAGTCCGGGGGGGCTGGTCCAGCACAAGCAATAGACGGTCTAAGGTGAAGAGACAAAACCTGTAGGTAATAAACAGTATATTTTTCAGTACTGTGCAGTTATAGAAACCCAAATACTCCGGTGGCCATCGTTGACGCCCTTCTCCCAGGGGATATTTTCGGGTGCGGGGATATGAAATGAGTGGCTAGATGCGGAATTTCGCTTGGTTGTTGTTTTTTGTTTTTTCCCTTCTCAATTCGTCTCAAAAATAAGCGCTCGGATGCGCTCATGGATGTGGTCAGCTTAACCATCCCGTGCCGAATGTCTGAATGACCGACGGCCGGCACGATGAGTGTCGAGGCGCGGCTTCTGTTTTTTTTATTTTGTTCTCTGGCTGTAGTTTCAGCCAACTACCTGCCGACTGATCCAGATTACTTCGACTTGGTTGTTCGGGATAGCACGCGCTTTACCCTTAGGCGTCGGACCGGCAAGGGCCAATCGGAGTTTCAGACGTATCACAGCCCCTTATCCGTTATGCGTGGAGATTCCAAGAAATCCACCTCCCGCCTTCGTCCCATGTGGATCCTGGCTGCAGCCGGCCTACTCTTCTTCGTCATCCACTACTTCAACTTCTTCGAAGACTCTAGACGCAGGATTCCCTCCTCCGTCTTCAAACCATTTGGAGTGGCAGACGATCCCCAAGTGAGCGGACACGTGTGCTGCATCCTATGACTTCCCTCTTCCCTGCGACTTGGGTGCTGCACCAACACAGCTTTACTGCGGGAGGCCCGCCAGGGCTTCTACCTGCAGCATCGCCAGCAGCAGCGTTGACACCGCATGCACGACGCAAGGAACGGCACATTCATCTGGGTAGTAGCAAGCTCGCCTGCTTGATGAGAGCCTGTCCAGTTGTTCTGCAGCAAGGCCATGAGCTGTTGCAAAGGCAAGCTGCTGCAGCAGAGAGGCAGCCGGCTACTGGCAGACCCAGGGGAGCTGCTGGTCTGCCAGTGATGTTTGCGCATATATGAGGCATATTTGCATGGAAACAGCTAACATTTTGGGAGAAGAGAGTGGCGAAAGCTTATGGATTTCATCTGCAGGTAGGAGGCGCCGCAGACGCCTCCAGTAGGTGTGTAGCGCATAGGGAGAGGGCAGCTGTGGTATTGCGCTGCTGCACGTTTGATTTGAGGCAAGGTTTGAACTAACTGCAGGAGGTAAGTTGTAGCGGGAATGATTGAGCCGAGTTGGGGATGAGCAAGTCGCTCGCCGTTGGCGGCAAGCGGTGCAGGGGCAGGTAAAACAAATTCCGTTGGCTAGGAGGATTGCTGAGGCGGCGGCTGTAAGATTCAGGTCTAGGGTTGAATGGGTACGGTTGCTGCAGTGTGCAACAGAAGCATGCAGGATGCACACAGCAACATGATGAATTCTGCATGCTGCTGCACAGGCAGGTTACAGAGCTCAAGGGTTGCAGGCAACACTCCTCGCGTGCAGCGCACAGGGCGTACAGAGCTGAGCTTCTGGACAAGGCCATGCAGCTGTAGCCTGGGTGAGACGGCGATCGTATACCCAGACAGGGCTGCTGCTGTTGCTGCAGTTTGTGCCTTTACTGTTGCGTCTGCTTCTGCTGCCACTGGTTCTGCGTCTGCAAGTGCTGCTGCTGCTTCCGGTGTGGAGTGAGAGGAACGGATGCGTAGAGAGTCCCGTGCTCTGTCCACCAAATGGCATAATGACTGAGGAATACTTGCCAACAGGAGATACGTTTCGATTTGCCGTGCTTCTGATAAAGCGTCACTCAACAGGGGCGATGCGGTTTCGAGCGTCTACGCAAAAGACATGTAGGCGAGCATGACCCTTTGGAGGCATCTAAAGCCAGAATTGCAGACGAATGTAGTTTTCGTTTTTTATATCTCTTCTTCCAGGTTCTTGGTAGACATCACATTTGTCCAGTGTGCGATCGACTGCGAACTATAACAGCGTTTCTGGCTCCTCGGCACTTGGTCGACACAAAAAGGCGTCTGTCGATCGCCTTCACTGCAGCTTTGCAAACTGGTCTGGTTCCTTCACGTAGAATGCTTGTGCTGCATGCAAATGTGAGTCTTGTCGAAGAGGTGTGGGGGTTCCATGGAGGAACAATTCCTTGCATTTTGAGTGAAATGTTCACAGTATGTTTTTTGTCGTCGAGTATGTTGATTTCGTCGAGTTGCTCGTGCCTGTTCTGATGAACAGAAGAGGACAGTCGTTACAATGAAGCTTTCATTTTCAGCTCCGTCGGCGAAAGGCATGTGACAGGAGGGCAGGAGGGGTGTTTGGGGGCGCTGAAGTTCACACTCGCCGCCGGGTCGGCTACTGTGTTTCGCTCACTTCAAGTGAGAGCTTGGCGCTCTTGACTTGCAGTGGTGCGACGTTTGGAGGCTTGTGACTACTGGAAGGGGAAGTGCACTAAAATGACGCGCCAAGCGAGGGATACTTAGCAATGCTATGACATTAAAGCGTTGATTGAGCTGCGTCGGCCACCGTGCTGATGCAGTTGATGGAATGCTGAGGTGTTGCCCATCTATCGATCTGGCCACGATCGAAGTTTCCCGTTGGGCGCCTACTTGTGATTGCAAATGCATGCTCATTTCTGCGCTAAATGTTGCTGCACTATGCAGTTTCAAGGCATACAAGGAGCCTTGTATAATATCTGTAATACACGCTTTGTGGGCGGATCGCTCAACCCTCCCAATGCTCAATGCTCAATGAACTGAGATGGAACAACTGCGGCGTCTAAAAGCAGTCATGGCAACTAAGACGGCAAACTTGTGGGAATGCTGTTGTATGAAGCCTGTTGGATCTCTACCCAACACCGCAGGTCTGCACAGCTGTGCTGGAGGAACAGTTTGGTATTCCTTCGCGATCCCCTCACTGAAAGGGGTTATCAGATGGCTAGACTAAACGCATTCACTTTCTGCGAGGTGAACCAGCATACTTTGCTGGTGGGCAGAGTAGCAACATGTGCTGATCAGGCTTTTCGAAGGGGTGCGCGCGATATCCAATCTAAGGAAAACCTGTGGGCTTCACACTAGCGTCTGAGAAATGTTGATTCCCACAGAAACACAGCAGACACACAGCCCCGAATGAGCACTGCGGATGGCACCGGCTTCTCTGTTGCTAATGATGACAGCGAGTTAAGCGCGCGCTTGTAAGTGGTTATTTGTATGGCAGGATGGCTGTTTGAGGGATGGCTTATTGGGGGCCAGGAAAAGGGGGGGAGGACCAGCGTCTTGATTTGATGTGGAGAGTGTTGTTGTG